TCGGCTGGGGATTCCTCCGAAATTGCGCCAACAACGTCAGAGCGCGCTCCCTGACCAGACCTACAAAAGGTGAAACATGTGTCATGAGCCCACGGGTCCTCCTCGGATTCGTAGCCCTCGATGCCAGGGATGCCAGGGTCGGGGCCCTGGGCTTCGCAATCGCCAAGGGGGTCCTCGGGCACAGACTCTAGCAGAGCCTTGGCCTCGGACCCACCACTGGCATCATCACGTCCCCCCTGCTCCTCCTGATGCAGATCCCCGAAGAACATCTCATGAGCGTTTTTCCTCGACTCCGCCCGCCGCTGCCGCCTCTCCGCCGCCTGCTCCTTAGCCAGCGCGGACTTCGAGCCCGTCGTCGGCGCCGTGCAAGGCCTGGCCATCCGCGGCAACCGCCGCGGCAGCGACAGGCATCGCGCCACCGGCTGCGCAGCGCTGCGGCGGAGGCGGACCACGAGCCCGATGCGCGGCCGCCAGGGTACCCGAACCTCGGGCGACACCTCCACGATGTACAAGACTGCTGTCTCCGAGCACAGGGCGTAGTCGATGTGCGACTGATTCTCAGAACCCTGGTTGCAAGCGGCCCCGACTGAGGCCGTCTCGATGACTGGCCGTCCGAGCAGCCGAGAGAGGAAAGTAGGTCGTTGGAGGGCATCTGCTGTGATGTTGAAATCCCCCGCAACGAACCACGGCAGCTTGATGGAGTTGAGCTTCGACCCTAATCGTTGAAATCGCGCCAAGTTGGGCCCGCTGAATCCGATGGACGGGTGGGCGTAGAAGACTATGGCCACGATCGAGTAGCCCTGCAAGTGGAGCACTGCCGCCGTGAAGCCGCCCAACTGGCCGTGACCTGGCGTCGCCAGCGGTCGACGGGCAGCAGCTCCAAGGAGAAACGGAAGTTGAAGATGGCCCTTCGCGAGGATCCACTCCCCGCCCTCGTTGGCCCTCGCCTGCTGCGACTTGGCCGCTCGCTTGTCACGCACACGTGCACAGTTACTAAGTAAACGACGTTTGGCCGCTCGGGCATTCACTTCCCATTTGCGGCGGAGATCCCCATCACTGACATGAGTTCCCACAACCCCCAGGAAGTCGCGTCGGCTAGAAGAAAGGTGCTGCCAAGCCTTGTCCCCCATACAAGTGACATTGGAATATAAAAAAGTGGGTGCCTTCGCATCCGAACCCAGCAACACCTGCAGCGTGCCCTCCTGCGCGCCGTCCACGAGCGAGGCCTCCACACTGCTAGCTGCCGCCTGCGTAGGCGAGGGCTCCTCTAGCAGCGCGTCGAACGGCACGCCCCGCGGCCCTCGGTTGGCCCCCGCGAAGCCTAGTCACGACTTCTGGGCCTCAGGCGCCGCGGGCTTGCCCTTGCCCTCGGCGGGGGCGGCTGCGCCCTTGCCTTTGCCGAACGTCTTGGTGGCGTTCTGCTTCTGCTCCTCCGGCAGCTGCGCCTGCGCCAACCGCTCCGCCTCCGTCAACTTCGCGGCCGCCTCGCGCAACGACGGATCGTCGTCGGGGTCCCCGACAGGCATCTGGGCCGCGGGATCCCCGCCGGCGGGGGCTGCCGGGGCCGCCGCGGGGGCGCTGGCCTGGGGCGCTGCCGCCGGCTGGCCTGCTGCCTCGGGCGTCGCCGCCGAGGCCGCCGCGCCCTGCGAAGCGTCCGTCGCTGCGTCAGCTCCCTCGACCTTGCGCTTCTTCCCGAGCCTGGTGTCCACTGCGGCGCGCACCGCCGCCGCCTTCGAGAGGACCGCGTTCACCTCGGTCTCCTTCGAACTGAGAAGGCTCTGCAGCTTCGCGAGATCCTCCTGCAGCTTCCTCAAGTCCGTGCGTTCGGCCTCCTCGCACTCCAGCGTGTCGAGACCCTCGAAGATGCGAGAGCCCCACCGCAACGCGGAGCGGGCTGCTTCCGACGGCGCTGGCCCAGCAGCGGGCGCGCTCGGCCCTAGGCCCTCGGCCGCCGCGAGCACGGCCTTCGCCTGGGTCTTGGCGCGAGCCGTCTGCGCCAGCTGTCAAACCGCGGCAGCTTCCTTCTCCTTCGCCACGGCGAGCGCCTGTTGGATCCTGACCACGTTCGCAACAGTCTGGGTGTGCTTGTGGTCGGCATCCTTCCAAACCCTTACCGCGCGGCGCACCGCCTCCGCCGCCGCGTGGGCCGCGTTGGTAGTGACCGACGGAGACGGTTGCTGAGGGTCCAGCAGCGCCGCGCGCGCCTGCAGGGAAGCCTTCAGCGTCTGGCCATCCGTGCTCTTGATGGCGAGACGCAGGAGGGACAGCTCATCCTGTGGGACGGGCTGGCGCGAGACGTCGTGGCCCTTGCCGCCCTTGTTACCTGCTGTGCTGTCCTCCTGCGACCCCCCTGATCATACTTCGACATGTGCAACCTCACCTGACGATGGCAAGACGGGCACTGCCTATTGCTGGCGAGAAGCGTGGTGTTCCACTCCGCGCGTCCGCAACTGCAACGAGACCAAAGATGCCCATAGCTCGTCATGGGAAGAAAACTTGGATTCCCCTGTTTTCGTCGTCCTCTGGGGCGGCGAACTGGAGAGCCCGAGAGGAAGTGCCCCAAGCACCTCGTGCAGGCACAGGGGACGGGCTCACCAAAATGATTCGAGCCCAAACGGCGCTTGAGTCCCCATGGAGGGGGAGGACGACGAGGAGGAGGAGGAGGAGAACTTGTTGTGGGGCACATGCTGGACGGCCTCCCTCGTCATCCAGCCCCTTTCTCCTCCCCCTGGTACTCCCGCAGAGTGAGGTATGTGGAGGGGGGGAGGCTTCATAGAAGGAGGCTTCCTCTCCTTCCTAGCCACGCTCAGAGGGGGGTATGGAGGGATGGGGGGAATGCCGGTTAGAAGCACCCCTGCTTCTCAGAAGGCGCGGGCATTGTCTGTACATGTGAGGCCGGCGCCTTGTAAGAAGCAGCCTCCTTCTGCGCGCCGCCTTTCCCCCCCCCACCTACCCCCCCTGCGCGCGGCCAGGCGTATTCGTGCAGAATTTGCAGCACGGGTCGTACTCGCGGGAATCCATGTCTTCTCCCTCCTCCCCCTCCGTCCCCGCGAGGAGGAGAATCGGTGGAGGATCGAGGGCGTCTTCTCCCTCCTCCTTCTCCCTCCCCGCGAGGAGGAGATGGGGGATCGACGACTCGAGGAGGAGGGGGAGGAGGACGATGGGGATGAGGACGAGAAGGAGGAGAAGCATCGAGGATCGAGGATCGAGGATTGAGCACCGAGGATCGAGGAGGAGGAGCGCGAGGGGGAGGACCCGATGAAGGATCGTTAACCCGAGGAGGAGGAGGAGGAGGAGGAGGAGGAGGAGGAGGAGGAGGAGGAGGAGGAGGAGGAGGAGGATCGATGATCGGGGATTGAGGATCGCGGAGGAGGAGGAGGAGGAGCAGGAGGAGGATCGAGGTGGGGGAGGAGGATCGAGGAGGAGGATCCAGGATCGCAGGAGGTGCCTCCCGGGAGGCCTGCCGTGCGCACGCGGGGCTGCGGCGGTGCACGCAGGCCAGGCGGCGGTGCGCGCGCGTTCGCCCCTGCGGCGTGGGCGCGGGCGCGCGGGCGGCTGGGCGCGCCGGCGGCGCGGCCGGCGGCGCCCATGCCCAGCGGTGGGCGCCCACCTGGGGCTGGGCGCGAAGTCACGGAGGGGGGGGGCGATGAGTGGGGCGGGGGGAGAGAGGTGCCCTCGTCGGGCCGTGAAGCCCCCCCCCTCTCAGGCGGGCGGGGCCAGTCATCCGTTCCAGAGCCTTTCCGGGGCGCTCTCAGGAACGCTCTCAGAGCGTTCCGGGAGGTTCTGAGGAGGCCGCGGCGCGGCGGATCCGCCGGTTCTCGGAGATCTTCGATTTATCCGTTCCTGATGCCCTAAAGGGCGCCTTTTCTGCAGCCCTCGCTGCCCCCCCCCCCCCCCGTTTCTCGCCCCACCCCCTCCTACTTCGACGCCCAGTCGAGCGCTGCTGCGGCTCTTGGGGTACGCGCTTGCTCCAGAAGGGGCCTCTCCCTCGCCTTCGGTACCTGGCATGGCTCGGCGGGGACCATCGAGGAGCGTCTTGAGCCATCTTGCGGATCAAGGAACGCACGAAGCCGAAACATGCACGGGAATGGACGTCCGAGCGACGGCGAGGGGCCGCCCTTGCCTTCGAGGGTTCGAGAAGTTGGCATCTCTCCCCCGGCGGATGGCCAGCGGAAGGGGGCCGACGCCGGCGCACGTAAGCGGACGCCGCCGAAGTCGCTTTCGAGGGGTCGAGCAGTTGGCATCATTTCCTCGGCAGAAGGCCGGCAGAAGATGGCCGCAGCGGGCGGACGTAAGCGCACCCCGCTGCAGGCTTCAGGTCCCAGGGTTTCTGCTCAACACATGTGCGCGCGGCTGTCACTCTCAAGTCGTGCCAGCTCGGACCACCGTTTGTGCCACTGCGGGCCCGCTGCTCTCTTGTTCTCCTTCTCCCGACTGCTGGCTGAGAGGGCCAACGTCAGCGGGGGGACGGGCTCAGGGGGGAACGCACTGACCCTCAACCGCCCAGTCGTCGCCGAAAGCCAGGTGTGCGGCTTCGCAGGCGGGGGGCAATCGTCGGCCTGTGGCCGACGTATCACCGCTTCCGGCTCGCGGGCTCCTCGGCCCAGGAGGCACATGCGCGCCGGTGTCGGCCCAGCCGCTGGCCAAGCGCAGGCGTGCGAGGTGGGGCGCCGCGGGTGGCCTTGGATCGGTCGACATCGGGCGGTCCGTGCTGTCGGAGTCGCACGATCGCTCGAGCTTGAACGATGCAGGAGGGACAGAAACACACAGACACTATGAGTCGTCGCTCCCGAGGAAGATGTTGGAAACTATGGGAAGCGGGGGGGAGACGAAAGCCTAGAACGTGTGGGAAACTCTGGGGAACCCTGTCACCTGTGTCCATCTAGTTGCGTGTCCCAGGGTCCCTTCAACGAGCCACGCGGTGTCGGAAACCAACGCCGACGTCGTCACCACAAGAGCTTGCCGTGAGTAGGTCTGGAGGGCGCCAAGCATGAGCTCAGGCCATCACCGTCTACCCCGACTTCGAGCCGACCGGGGTCACGGTTCTGCCGATCGGCAGCACGGGCAAGCCCAGTGCGCCGGGCAAGATGGCGCCCAGGACGCTACCTCGCGGGCGTGGGGAGGAGGGAGCAGCAGAGGAGAGGAGGAGGAGGAGGACCAGTGTAAACCCAAGACTGATCAGCGATGAGGGGCAAACGCCCTCCCTCCAGTCTCCCTCCTCATAGGCCCCTGCAAGGGTCATTTTCACTGAGGGAAGTACCCCCCCGTTGGGGGACAACCGTGTGAAAATCCTGAAGCGTGCCCATATTCGATTCTCAATACTTCAACGCCACGAGTCAACCTGATTGTTACGTCTTGACGCTCCTGCAACAAGCCAGGAAGCCAGTCCTGGGACTTCAACACCGTGAGTCAACGTAATTGTTAGTCCCTGACAGTCTTGAACCGTTCCATCATTTTTCAGTACGCTTGTCATGAGAGTCCGTTAAGTTTTTGTAAACACGAATGTGCGCCGCCCTAAAGCGAGAACCACATTTCGAAAAGGAACCGCCCTCAATCCGCGAAGCACCTGCACATGTTAGAAGGATGTGCGCGGCAATAAGGCGAGAGCCACATGTTGAACACCATCCGAAATCGATCCAGACAATTCTTGCACTTCTGTGAAACGAATGTGCGCGGCGCTATATGGCGGGAGCCAGATTTTGAAAAGAAAATGCTCTTGATCCGTGACGTCCACGCCACTGTTTGAAACGAAGTTGCGCGGCTCTGAGGTGAGAGCCACATTTTGAAAACCACCCGCCTTCAACCCGTTAAACGCCGAACATGTGTTAAAACGAATGTGCCCGACGCTAAGGCGGGAGCCACAGTTTGGAAGTTATTCGCCGTCCATCTTCAAACTTGTTGCCAGCGTTTCAGCTTCAGGCTCATAACTTCTAAGGGGGTGTCAGCAGGCCTTCTGACAGGCCTCGGGGTGCGACAGGGGGGAGTTACTCAGAAGGAGAATGAATGGGGGAGGAAGAGGGGGAGGAGTAATGGGAGGAGGAGGAGGAGGAGGAGGAGGAGGAGGAGGAGGCAGAAGCGGGGAAGGTGGAGGAGGGATGATAAACTACAAGGACAAGAGGAACAGGCGATAGGAGGAGGAGGAGGCACGATCAGGAGGAAACGGCGTGTGACGCGGGTGGGGGTTAGGATTAGACGGAGGAGGAGGTGGAGGAGGAGGAGGAGGAGGAGGAGGAGAAGGAGTTTCAGAAAGCAGGCGAGGATGGGGAGGAAGGACAAGGAGGAGGTAGAGGAGGCGAGCTTGAGGGGAGGATGGGATGGCGCGGACCACGAGGAGGAGCATGGAGGGGGAGGAACAGGAGGATGCGGAGGAGAAGGAGGAGGAGGACGGGGGGAAAGGAGAATGAGGGAGGAGGGAGGGCAGTATGAGAGGGCAGGACTGGGAGAGGGGAGGGGATGAGCGGACGGCCAACCAGCGCAGAGATGACAGGTCATCAAGCCCAGTATGCCGCAGAATGCGTCGTGCGGGGCTCCACGACAGCGGGGGGTGGAGTGAGAGGGCGGGGGCCTGGAGGAGCAGGTGGGGGAGGAAGATGAACGAGGCGAGTGTTGATGATGGGATGACGATGTTGATGATGGTGACGTTGATGGTGATGGTGATGGTGACGGTGATGGGCATGGTGATCATGCTGATGGGTGCGACATACTGGTGATGATGTTGATGATGATGATGATGATGATGATGATGATGATGATGATGATGATGATGATTGTGGTGGTGATGATGATGCTAGTGAGTGTGATGTTGATGGTGACGGTGATGATGATGGTGATGGTGACGAGGGTGTTGATTAGGGTGGCGGTCATGATGTTGCAGGTGAACTCGATGATGCTGACTGTGATGATGCTGATGGTGATGGTGGTGGTGACGATCATGGCGTTGATAATAATTGTAACGATGCTGTTGATCACGCTGATCATGGTGGTGATGATGCGAATGGCGGCGAGGATGATGATGTTGATGATGATATTGTTGGTGTTGGTGAGTTGGTGATGATGGTGAAGATGATGCTTGTGATGGTGATGGTGATGAGGGTGGTGATAAGGGGTGTGAACATGGTTATGCTGGTGAAGGAGATGATGGGCGTAGGGGTGATGATGATGGCGATGGTTTCGAGAGATGTGATCATCATACTGGTGGTGTCTATGGTGGTGTAACTGCTGATGTTTGATGGTGATGTTGATACTGACGGTTATTGTGATGGTGGTGAGGTGGTGTGGTGATGATGATGACGACGTCAACGATGATGATCATGATGATTATCATGATGATGCTTAGTATGATGATGGTGATGCTAATGACGATGCTGGTGATCATGCTGCTGCTTATGCTGATGATGGTGATATTGATGATGCTGATGATGATGATGATGCTGATGATGATGATGATGATGGGGATGAGGATGATGATGATGATGATGATGATGCTCATGATGATGATTATGATGATGATGATGATGATGATGATGATGATGATGGTGGGGATGATGATGCTGCTGATGATGACGATGAGGCTGATGATGATGATGATGATGATGCTGATGATGATGATGATGATGATGATGATGATGATGATGATGATGATGATGATGATGATGATGACGATGATTACATTGAGGAGGAGGAGGAGGAGGAGGAGGAGCGGGAGCATGAGGAGCATGAGGAGGAGAGGGAGGAGGAGGAGGAGGAAGAGGAGTAGGAGGATGTGGAGGAACTCGTAAGCGTCTGGCCAGGCAGAGGAGGAGGAGGAGGAGGAGGAGACGGAAGAAGAGGAGACGGAGCTGGAGCAGCAAGAGGAAGTGGAGGCGGAGGTGGGTCAGAAGGAAGATGAGAAGCAGGAGGAAGAGGAGACGGAGGAGGAGACGGAGGAAGAGGAGACGGAGGAAGCGGAGACGGAGGAAGCGGAGACGGAGGATCGGGGGGGGGAGTTGGGAGCAGGAGAGGGTAACGAGGACGAACAGGAGGAACAGGTCTCACCAGATCTCCGTCCTGGCACACCGAATCCATTCGTGGAGACCACGGGGCCCGAATGGTCCTCCGAGAGCGCGGAGTCCCATTAAGGCAGCAGCATTCCCCACAGAGCATCATCCTCGTCGATCTCGTCCCCCTCTCCTCGATCCTCCACCTTTCTTCCTGTCTTCCGCCTCCATCTTCAAGCTCCTCCTTTTCATTCTCCAGCTTTTTCCCACCCCCTGCGTATCTTCGCCCCCTCCTCGTCCACCTGTTTTCCCTCGTTCTACTGATTGAATCGCCCCCTGCTCCTCCTTCAACCTGTTCGTCCTCCTCTCCCTCTTCTTTGCTTCATCATCAACGCTGGGTTCCTCCTGACCCGGCGCTCTCCTCCTACAATATTCATTCTCTTCCTCATCTTGATCCCTCCTCCTCCTTCTCCTCCCACTCCTCCTCATCCTCCTCCTCCTTGAGCGCAGCAGACAGAGCGCTGTGTAACAGTTTGTCCGCCCAGAGTGCTTGTGTGATATAGTAGTGTAATCAATTCATCACACACGGTCTGAGGCTACGGCCTCTTGCGCCTTGCCCAAAGGGCACGGGCACCCCCGGTGCCCGGATCCGGCGCCTCCGCTCCGCTCCGCTCCTCCTCCTTCTCCTCCTTTCTCCTCCTCCTCCTTCTCCTCCTCCTCAAATCATTGGGGACGTGCCGAGCTGCTCCTGGGTCTTGCCTGCCTGGGGCTGCACCAGGAGAGAAGGGGCAGAGAACGAGGAGGAAGACGAGGAGGAGGACGAGGAGGAGGAGGAGGAGGAAGAGGTGACAGAGCAGAGAGAAGAAAAAGTGGAGGAGGAGGAGGAAAAGGAGGAGAGGGAAGAGGAGGAACAGGAGGAGGAGGCGAAAGAGTAGCGGGATTTGATTGCGCTTTGGTGGAACGGTTTTTCATGTATAAATGGAGGTATATGAAACATGATTGGGTTCTCTGTTGGGAGGTTATTCTCTCCTTGTGTATCCGTTTCGTTGCCCGCATGCGGAGGGGGAGGATGGTGGTCTCAGATCAAGCTCATCTTGTAGATCTTTGTCTCCAGAGCTGGTTTCACGCCCTCCGGATGTTCCTACAACCGTATGGCTCTCGGGAGAGATGGTGTGCGGGGGAAGAGGGTCGACATGTGTAAAGGAACGCGCATTAGGCAACGTCTAAGCGGATCTCACCCTTCCCATGTTCTTGAGGTCCGGAATGCAAGCTTCGAGTTTGTAGGTCTAGCTTGCAACTTGTCCTCCAGCTTCTGCTTCGAGCTGCTGGCGGGCCCTTGTCCTCTTGCTTGTTCTTCAAGTCGGACGGCATCGCGGACTTCCGCGCAAGCAACGGATCCTACGGATCCCTCCTACATTGTGCCCGAGCCAGAACGTTCGGTCAGGAGGCCTTAAGCCAAACTGGCTTGAGCCAAATGGCTTGAATCAAAATAGCTCGGGAGAGAGAGGGAATCTGAGGATGAGGATGAGAAGGAGGCTAAGGATAAGGGAGAGGAGGAGGAGGGCAAGGAGGAGGAGGAGGAGGAGGAGGAGGAGGAGGAGGAGGAGAAGGCGGAGGAGGAGGAGGAGGGGGAGTAGGAGGAGGAAGCGGAGGAGGATGAGAGGATAGTGGAGGAGGGAGGATCTGGTCGCAGCAGCTGCCCCTCGACGGCCCTGCCAGCCTGCCGGCGGCAGGCAGTGAGAAAGTGGGGGGCGTGGCTCGGGGGCCGTCTCTTCCCAGACTCGGGGGAAAAAACAATTAGCCTGGCGAAGGACCCAACCATATGCAGCTGTGAGCACCGCAGTCGTGAGTATCATCTTCGGTGGAGCTCCCTATGGGGCCACGAGACGTGTGAGGGGTGTGCCGACATGGGTGTGGCGGACGCATGTGGACGGCGCCTCTGGGGCATTCGGTGGAGCTCCCTCTGGGGCCACGAAACGTGCGAGGGGTGTGCCGACATGGGTGCGGCGGACGCGTGTGGACGGTGCTTCTGGGGCCTTCGGTGTAGCTAGCTCTTTCTGGGGCCACGAAACGTGTGAGGGGTGTGCCGAAGTGGGTGCGGCGGACGCATGTGGACGGTGCCATCAGGGCCTTGGGTGGAGCTCCCCATGGGGCCACGGAACGTGTGAGGGGTGTGCCGAAATAGGTGTGGCGGACGCATGTGGACGGTGCCATTGGGGTTTTCGGTGAAGCTCCCTATTGGGGCACGAGACGTTTGAAGGGTGTGTCGACATGGGTGCGGCGGACGCATGTGGACGGTGCCACTGGGGCCTTCGGTTGAGTTCCCCATTGGGCCGCGAAGCGTGTGAGGAGTGGGCCGAAATAGATGTGGCGGACGCATGTGGACGGTGCCTCTTGGGCCTTCGGCGGCGCTCCCTATTGGGACACGAAGCGTGTGAGGGGTGTTGCGACATGGATGTGGCGGACGCATGTGGACGGTGCCTCTGAGGCCTTCGGTGGAGCTCCCTACGGGACCACGAAACGCGGGATGGGTGTGCCGAAATGGGTGTGGCGGGCGCATGTTGATGGTGTTTCTGGGGCCTTCGGTGGAGCTCTCTACGGGACCACGAAACGTGAGATGGGTGTGCCGAAATGGGTGTGGCGGACGCATGTGGACGGTGCCATTGGGGCCTTCGGTTGAGCTCCGTATTGGGGTACGAAGCGTGCGAGGGGTGGCCCGAAATGGGTGTGGCCGGACGCATGTGGACGGTGCCACTGTGGCCTTCAGTGGAGCTCCCTATGGGGCCACGAAACGTGTGAGGGGTGTGCCGAAATGGGTGTGGCGGACGCATGTGGACAGTGCCTTTGGAGCCTTCGGTGGAGCTCCTTATGGGGCCACGAAACGTGTGAGGGGTGTGCCGACATGGGTGCGGCGGACGCGTGTGGACGGTGCCTCTGGGGCCTTCAGTGGAGCTCCCTAGGGAGCCACGAAACGTGCGAGAGGTGTGCCGAAATGGGTGTGGTGGACGCATGCGGACAGTGCCTTTGGAGCCTTCGGTTGAGTTCCTTATGGGGCCACGAATCGCGGGATGGGTGTGCCGAAGTTGGTGTGGCGGACGCGTGTGGACGGTGCCTCTGGGGCCTTCGGTGGAGCTCCCTATGGGGCCACGAAGCGTGCGAGGGGTGTGCCGAAATGGGTGTGGCCGGACGCATGTGGACGGTGAGATTGGGGCCTTCAGTGGAGCTCCCTATGGGGCCACGGAACGTGGGATGGGTGTGCCGAAGTGGGTGTGGCTGGGGCCTTCGGTTGAGCTCCGTATGGGGCCACGAAGCGTGTGAGGGGTGTGCCGAAATGGGTGTGGCGGGCGCTTGTGGACGGTGCTTCTGGGGCCTTCGGTGGAGCTCCTTACGGGACCACGAACTGTGGGATGGGTGTGCCGAAATGGGTGTCGATGATGGTGACGATAACTGCGATGAGAATGATGATGATGATGATGATGATGATGATGATGATGATGATGATGATGATGATGATGATGATGATGATGACGATGACGATGATGATGATGATGGCGAAGACGATGATGATGATGATGATGATGATGAGGATGATGATGATGATGATCATGATCATGATGATGATGATGATGATGATGATGATGATGATGATGATGATCATGATGGTGATGGTGATGGTGATGGTGATGGTGGTGGTGATGATGATGAGATTATGATGATGATGATGATGATGATGATGATGATGATGATGATGATGATGATGACGATGATGCGGAGAGGAGGAGGAGGAGGAGGAGGAGGAGGGGAGGAGGAGGAGGAGGAGGAGGAGGAGGAGGAGGAGGAGGGAGGAGGAGGAGGAGAGGAGGAGGAGGAGGAGGAGATGATGAGGAGGAGGAGGAGGAGGAGGAGGGAGGAGGAGGAGGAGGAGGAGGAGGAGGAGGAGGAGGAGGAGGGGCAGCGGGAGGGGAAGGAAGAGGGAACGGGGGGACCGTCTTTCCAAAACGAGAATCCAACACCACAGGATGACTGGGAATGACACAAACATAACATTTCGGAGGTCCGCGCGGATTTCTCGGATCGGCGCTGGACTCGCATTGGCGCACCCAGCGCGCCAGGGGCGGCGCCAGAGGCGCCGCCTTCGGGCTCCAGCGCAGATCCAAGAAATCCGCGTGGGACTCCGACTTGTTATGCTTCTGTCATCGCTTGTTCCCCCTACGGAAGCTGCCCCTCGCCAGATGTTCTGCTTGCAGCTGGCGAGAATTGGTCTCTCGGAGCGTGCTGGGAGGCACCGTCCGGGTCATCCCCCAGGGGCGAGGAGGCGATGATCGCGCCTCCTCGCGCGCCGCGGCCCGGGCCGGGGTTGCCTTCTCCAGGGCGGCCTCGCAAGGGCGCGGGCGAGTTGGAGGATGGCGCGTCGCGCGTGTCTCGCGCGTCGCGGCCTGGACCCGCGTGAGCGCGCGGAGATGGTCTGAGCGCCGCGCATCGCGGGGCGCGGCGCGCAGGGTTCGGTGGCCTGGTGCTGTCTGGCGAGGGGCCGGCTGGCCCGGTGCCTGCTTGGAGGGCCTCCCTTCTCAACCAGACCTGGCCTTGGCACGCCTTCTTCGCGCGCGGTCATGCTGGGGCCACAAGGGGGAGGTGCAGGAGGGGGGGAAGGAGGACGGAAGGAGTGGGAGGATGGAGAGGGAGGCGGAGGGGCGAGGAGGAGGAGGGGGAGGAGGAGTACTGAGAGGAGGGGTTCGAGGAGGAGGAGGGAGGGAGGATGGGGAAGGAGGAGTTGGAAGATCAGGGCCATCCGCTTCCCTCCGAATCCGCAGAAGAAACGGCAGCTCTTGTCGCCTCCGATCTCCTCGCCACCATCGCACTCATCATTCTCGTCGTCGTCGCTCTGCGAATCCTCACCGCCTTCCCGATCGCCCTGAGAGATGACCGCATCGCGAATAATCCGGACCAGAACCCCAGACACTATGTTTCTGCTGCGGCGTTTCCAGCGGATCGACCTGTGATGATGCCGTGGCCCGGAAGCTGGGCGAAAACGCTTGATTTGACAAACGTCAAGAGGGAAAGACATACACAGACACAATTATCCGGCGATTCCCCAGAACATGCAAGAAAATATGGGAAGTGGGGGGGAAGACACAAACCAGAAAATATAGGAAAATATGGGGAATCTGGTTTGTTTGTGTGTATTTAGTTGTGTGTCCCAGTTCCCCTTCAAAAACGCCTGGTCTGACAAACGGGCCACGCCAGGGTCTCGGGGCCATATGCTCTCGCCCTCCTCGCCCTCGCCGCCAGCCCACTCCAAGCCGCACGCGAGCTGCCTCGCGAGGAAGCGGCAGCTGCCCTACGTCGGGCCCTACGGCTGCAGGCGCGGGCGCGCCCCGCCGGGGGGGCGTCGGGCCAGCCGCTCGTGCGACACGTGCGCGCGCACAGGCAGGCGGCGGGTGTCCCGCGGTGGCGGGCGCTCCCCGCGCCCGCGGGGGCAGGGGACCCCATGCGCGATGGGCGACGCGCACGCTCGCGATGGCGGTCGGCCTCTTCGGCGTCCGACGCCTGCGCGACGCACCCCTCCCAGACAGGATGGCGTCGCAGCCAAAAGGCAAGCAGTGGCGAAGCGTCCCGTCTCGCCGATAGGCCCACCAAAGAATGTTCTAAGAGCCTTTCGTGCTTTGCACGAAACGTTCTTAGAAGATTTCTGATTGAGGTTGTCCTTGTTTAATCCAGGGGATTAATGTTCTAAGAACATTGTCTTGTTCTAAGAATATTTCTGGGTTCTAAGAACATTCGTTGTAGGACTATAGGAATGCCTGGACGGTCGGTCCCTGCTCAACGCTTGCGCGACGCACCCCTCCCGGACAGGAAGGCGTCGCAACAAAAAGATCAGGACAGGAGTTTTTTGTTTTTTGTATCATTTTCGGCCCCTGGCCTCGCCAGGCCCCGGGACAGTCGAACACGGCTCAGGGGGAGAAGCCGGTCCCGGGGGAAGGGTGCGCCAGATGGGAACAAGCAGGACGTCGCATGTCTAGGATTGTGGCGAAGGAAAGAGGGGTGAGCACGCCAGACGCTTCATTGGGCCTACCAGCGAGCGTTTCCGGGGATGGGACGTCCTCGTCGAGGGGCCGAGCGTTTGGCCTCGTCTTTCCCGTTCTCTTGGCGGCAGTTGGGGGAAACCCCGCAGAAGCCAGCTTCAGCAAAACCCATGGCCGTGATGCGGATAGTGATCGTGATGGCGATGATGGTGATGCTGGTGCGGGTGGAGATGTTGATGCTCATGATGACGATGACGATGCGCTCTGCTCGCCAGGGAGGGGGGCCCAGCGCCGAGCCGAGAAGTCCGCGCACGGACCTCCGAGTTGGACCCGTTGTGTCATTGTCGTTCGGACGTGTGCGTTTTGTCTCGGCGAGGACCTTCGAGGAGCACTCATGATCCGCTTGCGAAAAATACACGCAAGAATCCGAAACATGCACGGGGAATGGACGTACGATTGTGGAGGACGATCAATGGAGAAGAAGCATGTTGCCAAATACTGCCCAGATGTCTAAAACATGTGTTAAACATTTTGAAACATGTAAACACATGTTTGAGACCTTGTTTTATAACATTGTCCGACATTAAAAACACATGTTTTTTCACTGATAGGATTCTTAGGGTGTCCATTGTCGTGACATTCGCGAACGTACGAGCGATGGCGAGTTGTGCGTTCCCCTGCGAGGATGCCCCTGGGCCCTCCCCAGGCCGCCCTCTGGGCCGAGTGGCCGGCCGGGAGACTACCTGCCCCCCGGGGCGCGCGGCGTGCCGATTCTTCGGAGACGCGGGCCCCCGACCTCTCGACCATCAAGCAGTCGCGAAGCGTCATGGCGCGAAGTAGCCCTATCAAACAATGTTCTAAGAACTTTTTGTTGTTCCCACGACATGTTCTTAGAACGTTTCTGGCGGAGTCTGCCCTGCTTTAACACATCGGTTTTATGATCAAATAACCTTGTTTTTGTTATACGAACATTTGTGGGCTCTAAGCACATTTCGTGGTAGGGCTATAGGAATGCCGGAACGGTCGTTCCCTGCCCAACTCTCGACCAGCTCCCCGGGTCCGGGTCTCATCGCACGCCGCTACTTGACGGCACATGGGGCCCAGAACCGGCCCCCAGAGGCCGAACACGGCTCGCCATCGGCCGTCCCACTTCTGCTCGAGGCGCCGGATCGCCTCCGAGAGCCCCTCGTCGGGAGCGGCGCGCGCCAGAGGGGCTGCCCTCTGGCGCGCGCCTCCGCTCCCCTCGCAGTCGCCGGAGGGGTGGCCAGAGAAGCCGCTGCCACACCCAGCGGCTGCTTCGATTTGCGGCGAGCGGGGTCCAGCAAGCGTCAAGCAGCAAAGGGCGCCCTCGGCAACTGCTGGCTTTGCCGACGGCCGGCTTCGCCCAGCTGGTTTCGCCCGGCTGGTGTCGCCCGGCTGGTATCGCCGCTGGGCGAAACCAGATGCCGTCGGCGAAGCCAGCGTCCGTCGGCGAAGCCAGCTCCCGTCGGCGAAACCAGCTGCCGTCGGCGAAACCAGCTGCTGGCGGCTAAACTGCCCGATCCGAGACCTGCCCGCTAGGGTCCGCCCGCCCGACCAGACCAGCCCGTTAGGGTTCGCGCGTGTTCGGCCGAACGTGCCCCACACCTCAATGTCCCGCCCGCCCGACCCGACCCGCCCGTTAGGGTCTGCCCGCCCGATCCGACCCGACCCGCCAAGGTCCGCCCGCCCGACCCGACCCGACCCGTGAAGGTTCGCCTGTTCGGTCGAGCACGCCCCACACTTTCATGTCCCTCTCGCCCGACCCGACCCGCAATTAAGGGCCCGCCCGCCCGACCCGACCCGACCCGCCCGCTCGGGTCCGCCCAGCCGACCCGACCCGCCCGTTAGGGTTCGCGCGTGCTCCGTCGAGTGTGCCTCACACGTTCATGTCCCGCTTGCCCGACCCGACCCGCCCGCTAAGGTCCGCCCGCCCGACCCAACCCGACCCGCTAGTTCGGGTCCGCCCGCCCAACCCGATCCGCCCGTTAGGTATAGCGTGTGTTTGGTCGAGCGTGCCCCACACTTTCATGTCGCGCCCGCACGACCCGACCCGCCCGTTAGGGTTCGTGCGTGCTCGGTCGAGCGTGCCCCACACTTTAATGTCCCGCCCGCTCGACCCGACCGCTCGTTAAGGTCCGCCCGCCCGACCCGCCCGTTCGGGTCCGCCCGCCCAACCCGATCCGCCCGTTACGTAAGGTATCGCGTGTGCTTGTTCGAGAGTGCCCCACACGTTCATGTCCCGCCCGCCCGACCCGACCCGCCCGTGAGGGTTCTTCCGCCCGACCCAACCCAACCCGCCCGCTCGAGTCCGCCCGCCCGCCCCGATCCGCCCGTTAGGGTTCGCGCGTTCTGAGTCGAGCGCGCCCCACTTTTCAATGTCTCGCCCGCACGACCCGACCCGCCCCGTCGGGCCCGCCCGCCCGACCTGACCCGACCCGCCCGCTCGGGTCCGCCCGCCCGCCCCGACCTGCCCGTTATGGTTCGCGCGCGCTCGGGCGAGAGCGCCCACGTTTTAGTGTCCCTCCCTTCCAACAGACCCGCCATTTAGGTCCGCCCGCTCGACCCGCCGGCGACGACGGCGTCGGCAAAACCATTGAAACCACCGCTGGCGGAACCAGCGCCGGCGCAACCAGCCGCTGGGGCAACCAGCCGCCGGCGAAACCAGCGGGGCGAAACCAGCTGTCGGCGAAATCAGCGCAGGCGAAACCAGCCGTCGGCGAAAACAGCCGTCGGCGAAACCAGCGCCGGCGAAACCAGCGCCGGAGAAACCAGCTCATGCTGCGCCCTCGAGAGCGCCAAGTTATTCGCGCTTCGCTGCGCGTGCTTCGCGGTTCGGCTCCGAGTCCTTCTCATCCTTCTCTTCTCCCCGTGGAGGCGGCACGAGATCGCTAATTTGTTTGCGCAACGCGGAGCGAGAAGTTAGGCGCCTTTGAAGCAGACGGCAATACGCATTCGTTGCGGATGGAGGCGCAGGGACGCAGGCGGAAGAGTGGCGAGGAGAAGGGAGGCCACGGGACGGGCAGAGAACCCTGAGATCGCGTAGACCGTCAGAGCAGGCTCGCCCCCACCAGAGAGACAGGCCTTCTTTCTGGAAGGCGTCAGACTCGGACCTGCCGAAACTAGGGTCTGCCGCCGCTGCTTGGCGGTCCCAGCGTGAGCGCCGACTGTCCAGCTTCCGTTGGATGCCACATGTCAGATTTGGTCCAATCACTGTTCTGACGTCACAGGCAGACAAGTTCGAGCCCCCCCAGAATTCGAGTCTTACGTTTCACCGCTGTCTCAGCAACGGCTTGCGACGGCGATCGCTCTGTGGAGCACATCCACCTGGGTAGCGTTTGTGGAGGTCGGCCGTGGCTCCACGTGTTCGTGCTTGTCATGGATACATCCATGGTGTTCAGTTGCCCCCTCCGTGTGGAGTGCATCTCCAAAGCTCACCGGTCATAGTGTCTGTGTGGGGAAAGAGGCACACGTCGGAGGCGACGATAGGGGCGAATAGCCCATGGGGGCGGGCATTACACGTCTTCGCGTGGGAGCCTCGCCGAAGGCATGAATCGTCGGTGCCCTTCGATACATGTATTACTCTCCCTTGGGCGTTTCTCCCCAGTGTCGCCTCCGAAATGAGGCACACATTCTTGGGAGGAGGGCATTGCTATAAACAAGCTCGGGGGGTCAGTCTTGCGTCTTGCGTCATCGATTTGTGCTTTCTCGTGGGGGAGAAGAAGCGTCCCGCCCCCAGGATCGGGTGATGCTACAATTGCCCCTGGCCCAAGGAGCCCCCAGGATTTCCAAGGAGGCCCCCACGGCCTCCAGAGCCCCCTTCACAAGGCCCAGAGGGCCCCAGGGGCTCGCACCTTGGGTCAGCAGCACCTCCAGCAAGCCCCGACCCTCCCCCCCAGGAGGGGACGGGCCACCGCCTGCTGCTAACTCCTCGAGGCTGTGCGTGCTGCCAGTTGCAAGGGGTGCCCTGCGCCCTGCCCCGTCTGTTCCCCCCGCCCCTCCCATGGCGCCCAACTAGACCTTGGAGGACCCCCCCACCATGGTTGCCATGTCCTCCTCTTCCTCCTCCGCGCCTCGACTATGGCGCCGACTTAAGCGTTAATTCTTGAAACCGCCGTGATCGGTCAACCTGGAATGGTCAGCCGTTTTCCAAACGTCCGACTGTTCAACATCGACCGATGTTGGGTCGCCGCCGGCGTTCAATGTTGAACGCCAGCGGCAGGGTCGTTGCCGGTCGACACGAAGCGGACCTACCGTATTTCTCTCATCGTAGTCGCCACATTGTTCTTCTTGTCCCACCCCCTCGTCTCCCCCTGTTCCTGATCATCCTCGTCACGACTTCCTCGGCTACGCCCTCCCGTCCCCATATCTCTCCCCCGCCTTTTGATCGTCGTCGTTGCCATCATCATCACCACTCCATCATCATCATCATCATCATCATCATCATCATCATCATCATCATCATCATCATCATCATCATCATCATCATCATCAGCATCAGCATCAGCATCAGCATCAGCATCAGCATCATCAGCATCATCAGCATCATCATCATCATCAGCATCGTCACCACCATCATCATAATCGTCATCATAGCATCCTCATCACCAGCACCACCAACATCATCATCCAGCAACAGTATCGCCATCATCATCATCATCATCATCATCATCATCATCATCATCATCATCATCATTATCACCCTGGTCATCATCATCCTGGTCATCATCATCCTGGTCATCATCAGCCATCATCATCATCAGCATCATCATCAGCACCATCATCATCAGTATCATTATCAGCAGCATCATCATCACCATTATCGTCGTCATCATCATCAACCACATAACCATCATCATCCCGATCACCATCTTCATGCTCATCTTCAGCTTCATCTCCATCTTTGTCCTCATCATCCTCATCCTCATGATCCCCCCCACACAGCAGGTGGGAGCAGCATTGGGGATGGGACGCCGCGAAAGCAGAGCGGGCTCGCCCGCGGTCCGTCGTCCTGGGCCCGCTGGCGCGCACGCCCAAGAAGCCGCCGGAGCGGCGGCAGGGGCGGCGAGGAGGAGGCGGCGGGGCTTCGAGCTGTGCGCAGACAGGCCACCCCAGGCAGTCCCAGCGGGCCACCACAGGCGCCCGAGCAGTCCCGGGAGGCCCGCCGAGGCCAGCTGGGACTGCACGGGGGGCCCGTTGAGGCCAACCAGGACTGCCTCTTGGCATCGCTCGGACCTGTGCATTTTTCCTTCGGCGAGGACCATCGAGGAGCATCCTTGATCATTTGGCGAAAACCACGCACGGAACCGAAAAAAACACAGGGAATGGACGTCCGAGCGATGGCAGACCTGGATGGGGGCTGTTTGTGCGCAGGGCTTCGCCTTGCCGGGTGGAAGGTGGCAGTCCTGGAGCCGGCTGCGGGGCTCTGGTGGCCCAGCACAAATTCCGGCCAGGAATGAGGGGGTAGAGATAGACCCCCTCGTCGCCACGGCTGGACGCGGCTCGAAAATCTGTCAGCCTCGACCCGGGGACAGACTTTGAGCGGATTCATCTTCGTGTCCCCCTGCCGACAAATTGCTGTTGGGCTTGTCCAGCTCAGACCCCCCGATCACTTTGGTCTCAAGAGTGGCTGCAGTCGGACCGAGGTCTATGATCGAGGTCGGTTGGGGGAGGGTATTCTGATGTCCTTCGTGTTCGTTCGATGTTCGTGTGCATCCAAAGGAGGGTACCCTTGGATTGTCTGTTTGTTTTGGCCGACGGAGGGGCGCATGTTCTTGAGGGACGCTCTTCGGGCCGACAGTCAACCCAATGAGAAGAACGGGCACCCTTCCCAAGGGTACCCTTGCAATCTTGCCTCCTCGGTCCATCCTTGGCCACTTTTGTTGGTCGCGCCCCGTTCGAGAAACTTCGAAGTGGCCTTACAAGGCCATTGCATCGTTGTCGTGTATCCATCTGGACCGGGTCGACTGTAGGTCTGTCGGGCCGCCACCCTGGCATGCCGAGCAGCAGTTCCTCACTGCAGGTCGGTGGACCTCTCCGTAGCTTTGTGGAAGTCGATTCATAGAAAGGAAGCATGCTGCCAAATCATTCCCAGATGTCTATAAGATGTTTCAAATATGTTTAAAACATGTTTGAAACATGTTTAGAACATGCTTGACACTTTTAAACACATCTTTAATTCAATGACAGGATTGTTAGAGTGTCCATTGTCATGGCATCCACAACCGTGGCCGAGGCTCGCCGTGTCCAGAAGAGCCCCTCGATCCTCTCTCAGGGTCCTGTGCGGAGCAGAAGGCCCGTGGGAGGAGCCTCGTTCTCGCACACGCAGAAAAATGCTCGAAGTCTGGCATGCAGTTCTTCGATCGGCACCGGGCCCCCTTGGCGGTGCCTTTGTCGCCGCCACCCTGGCGCTCCGCGCGCCAGGGAGGGGGGTGCAGCGCCGATCCAAGAAAATCGCGCGGACTCCAGACAGGTGTTGTTCACGCAGCCTGCTCCTCCACCTCCACATCGCATTTGTGCTTACTGTCTGCGCGCCTGGTGAGCCTCAGCTTTGAGGGGCTCCGTTAGGGTGCAACTCCTGGGAGTTTCGACTCATCATCGTCGCTGCCATATCCGTTGTCAATAAGTGACCCAATCCGGCTCAATCCCGCTCAATATGAATCATCTGAATTCCGCTATACCCAGGGTTATCCTGGCTAGTCTGGCTCAGCCTTGGGCTGAATCTGGGCTGTCCGGCTGCGTGGCCCTTCGATTGGGCCTGCTTGCCGTTGTCGTTATTGCGAAGACCTCGCGGGAGCTGCCTCCACAGCTCCGCGCTGGCCCACCATTCGGAGCGATATCGCCGCCTCAGGCAGAGGCCGAGTCGGCCTCTCGGGCCCTTGCTGCGCGGTGCCCGTCGATCTCGTGGCCTCCCCCGCGTGCTTCGCTCGTTCGCAGCAGCCTGCTCCTCTCTTCTCCTCCTGGACTCGGACTCCTCTTGTCGTCATCCTCCTTCGTCCTCGTATTCATCCTTCTCCTGCACTCTCCCGCCGCCCATTTGGTCATCATCGCCCTCATCTTCCGAGGGCAGGGGGTTGTGGAGTATGCGGTCTGTTGGACCTTGTCTTCACTCTTCTTTGTTGTCTTCTTCTCTCCCTGTGTTCTCTGTGTGTGAGTGTGTGTATGTGAGTGTGTGTGTGTGTGTCTGTGGGGGGAATCCCCCCAGACAAAAGTCCGAACGTCCGCCGCGTTTTGTTTGTTGTTGTTGTGGTTGTGGTTGTGGTTGTTGTTGTGTTGTTGCCGTTGTCGTTGTCGTTGTCGTTGTCGTTGTCGTTGTCGTTGTTGTTGTCGTTGTTGTTGTTATTGTTGTTGTTGTTGTTGTTGTTGCTGTTGTTGTTGTTGTTGTTGTTGTTCAGGGGGGTGTGGGGGGGGGCAAGAGGAGACATCCCGCCCCGTACACGCGCACACACACACACACACACGCACGCAAACGCACACGCACACGCACACGCACACGCTCAGACACACGCACACGCACACGCACACGCACTCGCACACGCACACGCACACGCACACGCACACGCATGCACGCACATGCACACGCACGCACACACACACACACACACACACACACACACACACACACACACACACACACACACACACACACACACACACACGCGCACGCACACACACACACACACGCACGCACGCACGCACACACACACACACACCACACGCACACCTCCACCTCGCTCCTCCTCCCGACTCCTGGGGGATTGTTCTTGCCTCCCCCCCCCCGCTCCACACCCCACACGAGAAACAAAACGCCGTGGACGTCCAGTGTGTTTCTCTGGGGGTTGGAAGGGACAGAGGAATCATCTCGCCCACACGCACACACAACCACATTTACACACTCACACACGCACGCACGCACGCCTGCACGCACGCACGCACGCACACACACAGGCACACATACACACACACACACACACACGCGCGCGCCCGCACGCACGCACGCACGCACGCACGCACGCACGCACGCACGCACGCACGCACGCACGCACGCACACACACACACACACACCACCACCTCATCCCCCCCCCTCCTCCTTCCTACTCCCTCTGCCAACTTCCACGTTCCTCTACCACCCTCCCTCCCCCCCTCCTCCTCCTCCTCCTCCTCCTCCTCCTCCTCCTCCTCCTCCTCCTCCTCCTCCTCCTCCCTGCTTGCTCTACCCCCCTCCCCCCAATTTCTCCTCTCAGTATTCCAGGGTGCTCACGTTGTAACCGCAGTGATCCGTTCTTATGGGGTTCCTCGCTACAGGCACCCTTGCCAATGACTCTTCACTAAATGGGCCATCATGAGGATTGTTTGCTAAAGTCATCCTGTTTGACGAACGCTTGCCCAAACACATCCTCGCGAATGATTCCTCACTGAAAAGGTGTCACGCCTTAGGCCCCCATTGACCCAGACATCCCTACACATACATGGTTAGTAAACATGTCTTTACCACGGACCGCGCACTAAACGGAACGCGTACGAAGGCCCCGTTACTACAAGCAGTCGTACCACAGATCTCTAGCAATGGCCCCAGTGGAGGCTTTCGCATGTCGCCCCACAGCGGTTTCGTCGGCTCGGCCCTACGTGAATGTGAAAAGGGGGGAGGGAGAGGGAGGGAGAGAGAGAGAGAGATATAGAGCAGCCATGTTCTCCTCTCACCTCCCCCCCCTTGTGGGTTGTGTGAGAGAGCAACGTGGTCCTCTGCACAATGGTTCCTGTCTAAAGGTTTTTTTTACTAGAGGGCAACTTGCTCCCGATTCTTTGATGCAGGCGCTGTGTATAAGGAGACCGTTTTAAAGGCAGTAACAGTAACACGGTTTCCTTACTACATGTCGCTCAACGTGGATCCTAGGTATTGGCATCTCCGTTGAGAATGGCATTACAAACACCACAGTCGACAAACCCAGCATTCACACATTCCTCACCAAGGCATCCGTTTCAAATAACCGTACAGGGACCATGCATAGTTACTCCCTGCTACAGAGGTCCTTACCGAGGGGATCCGTACTACATGCACTCTTACTAATGGCCCTACCACTAAAGAGGCCCGCTGTTATGATTTCGTGGTAACGGCTACCGTTCAAACGCGTGTCTTATGCATGTGTTCGCGCGACGCGCTTCCAATCTACAGATATCCGTACTGAGGGCGCCTTATATTCTGGTTAAGACCAAAAGGCAGCAGGATTATTGAACGCGTGTTAATGTCAAGGTGCTCGTAGTACGAAATCCTTGTTACGAGGGGTAGCAGTAAGGAATCGTTACCGCAGGAACCATAATTGAGGGGCACCTTCACGAAAGGCATCCACACTAAGGGCGCCACACTGCACGTATCCTTACCACGGGCCCCAGTCCTAAACGCAGCCGTGCTAGGTAACCCGTGTCAGCGGACGCGTAAAGAAGCATGAGCGACGATTCCGTATTAACAGAGATTTTTATTGAGGGGATTTTTACCAGAGACATCCCCACTACGGATTCCTCGTTGCAGGGGTTTGTAACCGGTGCCCTTTGCTGAAGGCAGCCTTATTGACGAATGCTTATCAAAGGCACCCGCAACACGAACCCCTCGCCAAAGGCGCCAAAGGGAACCTCCTTCAGGGTATCTTGATTCAGATCGCCTTACACATCCATGTGAACGAAGCCTCACTACACGGAATGGCTCCTACGGGCCTTTGTTACAGGAATCCGTATTGATGGGTTCTAGCAGTGGCCCCAGCAGAGGCGTTCGAATGGCGTCCCTCCGGGTTTTCATTGGTTGGGCTTTGCGTGAACGTGAAGTGGGAGGAAGGGAAAGAGAGAACGAGAGAGAGAGAGAGAAAGAGAGAAAGAGAGAGAGAGAGAGAGAACGATAGAGCACGAGAGAGGGAGAGAGGGAGAGAGAGACAGAGAGAGAGAAAGAGAAAGAGAAAGAGAGAGAGAGAGTGTGAGAGAGAGAGAGAGAACGAGAGAAAAAAACAGCAAAACACAAACGCAGACGTTTGCTCCTCCTGTCACGTCCTCCTTCTGTGTTGTGGGATGTGTGTGTGTGTGTGGGGGAGGGCAGCCAGGCCCCCCACCGTTTTCCCCTTGTCGGAGAACTCCGTACAAAAGAACGCCGCATGTTATACAAGGAATTGGTCGTAAGGCATCTTTCCTGCAGACATCCTTGCTAGGGGATCCTCTGTGAGGCGAGCGCCAAGTGAGAGAACGAGAGAGAGAGAGAGAGCGATAGAGAGCGAGAGCGCCCTCCCCCCCGAGCATGGTCCTCGAAAGTCCAATCCCTGCCTCTTGGCAGTGTGCTGTAACCCCAGAGACCATGCTCGGTGGGCCATAGGTTTCATGCCCATTTGCTGTCCTCCAAGATATCCTCAAACTGTCAAGGTACACTCCTTCAAAATCCCCCTCACCTCTGTCACGATGCTTGAATAGGGGAACATGGCAGAGGGAGGAGCAGGATGATGAGGCCGGGGGAGGACGGGGACTGAGGATATCCAGGACGATTTTGATGAGGGAGAGGACAGAGGTGAAGGAACCCGAGGAAGGGTATTGAGGTACAGGGATGGACGGACATGGAGACGAAGGAAAATAAGGAAGAGGATCGATGAGTCGCAGACATGGATTGAGGCGAGTGGACTAGGGACGGGCCGTGTTTCATTACAAATGCAGCGCGCTCCGTCGCCAATTCGGGCGGTGTTGGCGCCATGTGTCGCCCCGATCCGTGGACGGTGCCGACGCACCAGATCCACGGATCTTTGATCCATGTTAGCGCGTGCCCGAGAAGAGGATGGAGACGGAGGAGGAGGAGGCATAGTGATAACGCATCAGATGCCCCAAACAGCCTTTGTGCGCATTCACCAGCTCAGGCTGCTCGCGCGGTGGTGCTGTTATTGGTGCGGTGAGGGCCCGGGAGGTGTGCTGAGGGTTTCGCAGATACCGCCCCCCCCCGCCCCCTCCCAAACACGCGCAGAGCGCAGCCTCACGCGCCCTCTTTCCCTTCCCCTGGCAGCTGTGGTCGGCGGGTTTGACGAAGGTGTTCTTTGCTCTCGCCGGTGTAAGGATATCGGCCTGTCGGGACGATTTCCTCGAACACGTCTGGGCAAGACCGCAATAGGTTTGCCAACATCGGGCAATCTATGACTCTCTCAGCTCAGCGTTGCTGATACAGACAGCGAACAGGCTCGAACACCCTCGTTGATTGTCGCGCTCGAGGCCCAGGTGCTCCTTGCACAGAGGTTCCTACGGAGCCAAGTAGGGAGTGCGAGCTTTCGATGTTGCCATCATGTTCGATTGTGGCCTGCTTGTGCCGAGCCGTGGCCCTTACCAAGTTGTTTCTTGCTCCCGCTCTCAATGAATCAAGCTGTGTCGGTGTGTGCGTGTGTCTGTCATTGTAGGCTGTGGTCTCTTAACGATGGCACTGTCATGATGAGTGAGGAGGCTGATAGCCTTCAGTCGAGAACAATCGTGGTGTTCGAGACAGTGGAGCTGTTGGTGATCTCTTGTAAGCCTTGGGCTGAGGCGCCCCAGTTTCTTCCAGTGGCCCGGGTGCCCTTCGCAACCGCCACAGCCACCACAAACTCCGGTTGCGACACCACTGCATAACGGACGCGAGTTGGGCAGGTGCCCAAGTCTAGGCCTGTCAAGGCCTCCAAGCGATCTGGTCGCGCCAGGGAGCTCGCTCCGGACTTCTTCGGAACGTTGGCAGGACAGCGCAGGTTGTGTGGTGTCGAAACCGATGGCAAGGCTGGGTAACCTTCCAAGGGTACCCTTGCACCCGTGCCTCTTTGGTCCGTCCTCGACTGCTCTCTTGGCCGCCGCGCTGGAAGAAGCTTCCACACGGGCGTCCAAGGGGCGTGCATCCTCATCGCGCATCCTCGCTCTCAGGCTTGACCTGTAGCCTGGAGGCGGGCAGTGTCTTTATCCACATCCAGTGCGTCCTGGAGTTTCGGGCACTCTCCCCAAGAAACGTGAGGCGCACTGGGATATGGATTTAGAATCTGCCTCCACAAGGCTCAAAGTTTCTCCATCTCCAGTGCGCCTCGGCCTTGCGGCGCCCCCCTTCCAAGAAAGTCCGAGACGCACTGGCTATGGATATAACTATTGCCCGCACCGGGAGCCCGGCACCCGCTCCCCCCCGCTCCTCCTCCGCAGGAGAGGCCCCCGCCGCGCAGAACCGTCTTCGGGGACCCGGGTGGCGCCCAGGACCGCGGTTTTTTTTGGGCGCCGCCGCGCGCCCCACTCCTCCTCGTCCTCGTCCTCCTCCTCCTCCTCCTCCTCCTTCTCCTCCTCCTCCTCCTCCTCCTCCTCCTCCTCCTCCTCCTCCTCCTCCTCCTCCTCCTCCTCCTCTCCTCCTCCCCCCTCTGCGCGCGCGGCCGCTGGACCGTTGCCGCCGTCGCCCACGCCGTCGTCGGCCCGCGGGGCCGCCTCGGCCCGCGGGGCGGGCGCCCCGCGCGTGCACGCCGCCCGGGCGGCGAGGGGCGCGAGGCGCCGCTGCCTGGCCCGGAGCGGGGGCCGCCACGCCCGCGCGAGCGGCGGGAGGGGCTGCACGTTCGGAGCGCCCCGCCCGCCCGCGCTCCTCTCTCTCCGCGGCCGCCCTCTCGTCCTTCCCCCCCCCCCGACCCCGCGGGGAGAAGCTCCGAAGAAGAAGGCACGGCACGGATGTCAACGTTCGGCGGTCCGTGCGGCTCTCTTGGGTCTGCGCTGCCCCCCCCCCCCCCGGCGGCGCAGGGGGGCCGAGCGCAGATCCAAGAAAGCCGCGCGGACCGTCCAAAGTCTATGTTTACACTCGTGATGTTCCAACCCACGGTAGCCTTGACCACCGGAAGGGAGTTCGAGCACCGCGAAAGTACCGCAACTCGATGGGATTTACGTGTCGGGCCTTGGGAGGAGAATACTCGTTCGACGCTGTTTCGATCCTTTTTCTGGCTGCTCGAAACTAGTTCTGGGATATTGCTCTGAAGTACGATGGGAGCAGCAGAAGTTTATACCGGTGTTCTCCCTCTTAAGTCTGCTGCGCTGCACCCCGGAAGAGGCCTGCCCGCACCGTAAGCGATCGCCGGCGCCGCGGCAAGGAAGAGCGGTGCGACGCGCCAACGCCAGGCACGTGCGTTGCGCGCTCCGGTCCACCCGGTTGCAGCCGCTGCAGCACGGCACGGCCTGGAGTTCGAGCCGTTGCTGTCGTCACCGTGCTCTTCGCCGAGGGTCGAGGGTAGAGGTTCTTGGGGAATCTGTTCCTCCCGTTCAGATCCCCCTCGAGATTCAAATCCGGGTCAGAGTGCACCCCTGGGGACGGATGAGTTTTCATCATCCTCATCCTCCTCCTATTCCTCTGCCTCGTCATGCCATTCCCATCTTGGGCCGAAAGGCCTGTGAGCCAAGCGGCCATCAATCAGTTGTTGTTTTTGTATGAGTTCCTGTCTGCCCAGATCTTGTTCTGACAGTTTTGGGCGGCTTTGGACGGTTCTTTTGTTTGGGATGGTTTCGGACTCCGGACGGTGTTGGATATTCGTGCGGCATGTTTGGGCCTCTCCTAGAGCCTCTGGGGGTCGTCTGCGAGGCCTCCCTTAGGGCACAAGTTGGAACCCATCTGCGGGCGTCATGGGGTTCAGTCCTGACCTCAAGTGGGGGGGGGGAGGAGGGAGAAGAGGAGGTTGGGAGTACGACGAGAGGGAGGATGGGGAGGAGGAGGAGGAGGAGGAGGAGGAGGAGGAGGAGGAGGACAGGATGGTGGACGTTCTGGACTCGACTCGGAGGAAGGGTGGACCCTCTGGACTCTAGACTCTGCGTGTGGGGGCAATGTGCAGCAAGTCACTCTAGTGCTAGCCCCTGTGATCGCTCACTGAGAGCGACCGTGCACACTCACGCTGGGGGCTGGTGTCACAGGCCTACCGCGCGTTCATGTCTGCTCGGAGGCAGACGTTAGCTGCGGGTCAGGAGGAGGACGGGAACCAACAGGAACAAGGGGGGAGGATGAAAGAGAGGGAACACGCATGAGCGCAAGCATGATCATGCATGCGTAGAGCCATATCCCATACGGTCAAATTTGCATTTGTTGCGAATCAATATCTGGCAAAAGCGCCGCTCCAAAACACCCGAGAAGCAACCTTTCTGGTGTCGCGGATCCGTGGCCGAGGTCGCTTTTTGCGTCGCGCCTCCCCGCAAGAGGCACCCCACGCCCGTGGTGCATCCATGCCATACACACACTGCTGGCCAGAAGGTCATCCGAGTTGTCGCGCGCGCGCGTCCGGAGAGGGGGGGCCTCGAGGCGAGGCGAGTTGTCGCCCGCACGCGCCCCCTCCCGTGTGCTCCGCGGTGGGAACGAGAGCCGCTGACAGCCCGACGACGGCGTCTCCGCGGCGCTCCGGAGGCGCCCGAGCGAGCGCACTTCCGCCCTCTCTCTCTCTCTCTCTCTCTGTCAGCAGATCTCCGACGATCCGACGTCGTCAAGCAGGGTGTCTTTTCTCCCCGCAGTGTGTCCTCGGAGGCCGTCTTCGGAACCCAGGGCCATCGCATATGCATCCAGGACGAAACGGCCCCCCCCGGGGAAGGGGGCTCTGAGCAAATCCGCTCGGCGGATGTCAGGGTCGCCCAGCGTTCCCATCCGAGCCCAGTCGGCGCCCGAGCCCTCGAGCCCCCATCCTCCTCCTCCTCCTCCTCGTCCTCCTCCCTCCTCCTTCTCCTCCCTCCTCCTTCCTCCTCCTCCTCCTCCTCCTCCTCCTCCTCCTCCTCCTCCTCCTCCTCCTCCTCCTCCTCCTCCTCCTCCTCTCCTCCTCCTCCTCCTCCTCCTCCTCCTCCTCCTCCTCCTCCTCCTCCTCCTCCTGTGGCGCTGCTCAGCCGGACGTGTGCGCCCTTCAGCCCTAGCCAGTGAGGGGATTTGGGCCGCCCTCTTCCTGGCAGTGGTGGAGGTGGCTTTGGTGCGCCACCCGCCGGGGGAGGGGCAGAGAAACGCTGCCAGCATCCCACGCCGAGGGCTTGATGTGGAAGCACAGAATCCGGGCCTCCCAGATGGGGCCCGAGTAGATTTGGGTCGCAGGATCGTGCCGCATCGCCGATGCATCGGCGATGCGGCTCGATGTGGGGCCCGTTTTTCTCCACGCTGACAGCGGCGATGCATCGCCGACGTCGCCGATGCATCGGGGATGTCGCGCGATCATCCGATCGCACCTGCTCGGACCCATGCTGGGCGGCCTCCACAAGCAGAGAGTCTCCGTGCCCACCCGGCCACCGAACAGGCCCGTCGCTCGAGCTCGTTGGGCGGCCGGGCCCGCGCCGTTCCAGCAGTTCTTGGGCCTCGCGTGACGGGGGGGGGGGCAGCGAGGGCTGCAGAAAAGGGGCCCTCTGAGGCTTCTACAAGGGGCCTTTTGTGGGGCCCCAGGAGTGGGCCCCGAAAAGTGCCCCCCTCTTCCCCCCCCCTTTGATCGCCCCCCCCTCTTCCCCCCCCCTTTGATCGCCCCCCCCCTTTTCCCCCCCTTGATCGTCCCCCCCTTCATCGTCCCCCCCCTTTGATCGCCCCCCCCCTTTGATCGCCCCTCCCCCCTCTTCCCCTTTCATCGCCCCCCCCCCCCCCCAAAACAGGACGCCCAACGTCTCTGTGGCCCTGGTGCCATCGGGCCGCCCTCGGCCTGCCGAGCTGGGCTCTCCGCGATCCACAGCACCAAGTAGGCTCGGCGGGGAAGCTCCGGGGCCCCCTGCGAGGGTTTATTTGACATGAACGACCTGGAGACGTTTGTGCCCCCCTGGCGATAACGGGCGTGATTCGGTGGAGGAGGGGAGGGGGCCGGTCCCGTCACGATTCGCGCCGGCGCCGTTTTGGAGTGCTTGTGGGAATGGCTGATCCGGAACGGCGCCTGCACGAATCGTGACATGACCAGAAGGGCTCGGCTGGTCACGGCCGTTTTTGCGAATGATTTGAAAACGGGCTCTTGGCGGTTTTTGCTACAGGGGTTACTGCGGTCTGCTTGCGCAGTTGAAAATTCCCCTGACAGACCTGACCACCATTTCGTAATGCATGGCGGTTGGCTGGTCATGCAGGCGGTGCATGCAAGACACCCGCCCCGCTAACCACCGTCTGGGGTTGCAAAAAGTGTGGTCAGGAGCTTTCCGGGCTCAAATTCTGAGGGTCCTTGCTGTGTTTGCGTGCTGGCTCAGCCGCCGAGACTCCAGCCACCAGCTCGGATCCTCGAGCAGGGTGCCCGGAGAGGCAGCCGGGCCCTCGCCAGCCCTGCACGCCGCAGAGATCTCCTCCTCCTCGTGCCCCGCTTCCTCGTCGCCCAACCTCGGGCGCCCCGTGGCCTCGCCCGGCACAGCACCCGCAGCACCGTGTGGCGCTGGCGGGTGCCGCCACCTGGACAGCACGCACGCGCCTGCCATCGCCGTCGCTCGAGCTGCTGCCTCGGTCTTCGCCCCACTCCGCGCCCCCCCCGTCTCGATCTCCATTCGATCTCCATGTCGTCCGCCCCCTTCCCCCCGCTTGACCTCTGCAGCCTGTGTATGTACACATATATATATATATACACACGGCCATGCATGTTCGCACATACACACATATAGACTATTCTCGGAGGTCAACCCAGGAAACCAGGTTCGTCTGCACCGACGTTGGCGCGTAAGCTGCCCGCGTGAGATGGCACGTACGCAGTCTTCGTCTGCAGTGTGGCGTGCCGCGCTGGTAGCCCGCGTAAGCCGCCGCGTAATGTCGCGTGCCATCTCGCGTAAGACCCGGTTCTTTTCGGTACTCACGTCCCTCTCCTGCCGCTACCCCCTGCTGCCTGCTGCCGGCCACTGCTGCCGCTCCTCCGTTCGAGGTAGTGCCAAAGAGGCTCCCTCCAGGCTGGCGGCAGGATCGCGGGAGCCGCAGGCAGGCAGCAAGTGCCGGCCTCCTGGGACGTCTCGGGCGGTTGAAGCCTCTCGGCTACACGTGAGAGTGACCCTTCGCTGGAGTGAACTCTGGTGCGGGTTCACTGGGGCCCCCCCGATCGCTGAGCGCGATGCGATGACGGCTGCTTGCGCGCTTGGACGTTGCCATTTGGCGCCCCATTGATCTCGGTCCTCAAGGTCACTCTTGCCTAGGGTCACTCTTGCATTTGCCGAGCCTCCAGGCTCCCACGGGCCGTGCAGCGAGGTCTTTGGGGATTTCGGGTCACTGCACGGTCCCTCAAAGCATCGTTTCGAGATTCTCAAGTGTCATCGACGGATCCGCTGCGACAGGATGGCGCCAAGGTCCCTGGACCAAGTCGTAAACAAAAGCAGCGCCGGGGGTGTGTACATGATCACCTTCCTACAGACAAATCACAAGCGCGAGCTGCCAGAATGGGACAGTGAAACTTGATGTTCCACAAGAGCAGCCTGCAGGCCGAGTTGTCTACGCTGTTGCGGCTGGTTGCCGTGAGGCAGTTCGGAGGATATACAGAATCAGAAGTTCAAACGAGAATCGTCAAATCTTGTCAGGCAGACGATCTGCATGGCTGGGGTTCGACGTGGACGGTCCTCGATGTGGTTCGTTTGGGAAGGATGCTGAAGTGCAGCAGGGAAGAAGGAGGAGGAGGAGGAGGAGGGGGACGAGGACGAGGACGAGGAGTAGGAGTAGGAGGAGTAGCATGAGGAGGAGGAGGAGTTGGAGGAGGAGGAGGAGGAGGAGGAGGAGGAGGAGGAGTAGCAGGAGGAGGAGGAGGAGGAGGAGTCCGAGGAGGAGGAGGAGGAGAAGGAGGAGAGTGCCCCGCGACGCGGTGTTCGGCTGACCTGGGAAGAGATGACGCAGCGAGAGAGCGGGATGTCGACGCTCGACGAATATGATGACGACGACGACGACGACGACGCCGACCCCTCCCCTCGAACCTCGACGCTCGACGACGACCCATCCTCTCGAACACCTCGGCGCTGGACGAGGACGCTCGACGATGACAATGACCCCTCCCCACGATCCCCGACGCTCGACGACGACGAACACCCCTCCCCTCGAACTCCTCGAACCCCTCGACGCTCGACGACGACGATGACGACGATGATGTTGATGATAATGGTGCTCGACGACGCTCGGCGACGATGCTCGACCACGATGCTCGGCGACGACGTCGACGACCCGATCCCGAAGCGGAGGCTGGAGCTCTCCGCGTCGGCGTCCGCCCCGCAGCTCCGGAAGCCCGCGGACGCGGCCCAAGACACGCGGCCTGCTGCGCACTCGGGGGGGGGGGGCGCCGAGAGGGAGGTCCGAGCTTCTAGGCTCGAGGATCGAGGATTCGGTAGAGTATTGGTTTCGAGGAAGATGAGGAGGACCAGTCTAAACCCAAGACTAACCAACGATCCTGCAATAATTCCTCCCTCGAAGCTCCGTCTTCAGAGGCCCCATGCAAGGATTCATTTTCATTGAAACATGTGTCCCGGTGGAAGAGAATCCCTTCAAAATCCTGATCTGTGCACGCCACCATTCTTGAGATTTCAACGCCGCGGGTCACCATTAGTGTTGGTTCTTGACGATCATGAATCATGCCAGACCGCCATTCTTGGGACTTCGACGCCACGAATCCATGTAATTCATGCGCCCTGACAGTCTGGGACGTTCGACATGAGACTCCTCAAGATTGCTGTACACTCTTGCGACGAATGTGGGCGGCGCTTGGGCGAGAATCCCATGTTGGAAGGCGCCGCCCTCCATCTGTGAAGCTCTTGCAAGCGTGTATGGCGAATGTGCGCGGCGCTAAGGCGAAAGCCACATTTTGAATCTCTTGCACTATGTTCATGTTGATGTGCGCGGCGCTAGGGCGAGAGCCACACTTTGAAAAGCAACCCGCCCTCTATCCGTGAACCCCGTGTATCTTTTTAAGACGGATGTGAGGTCGCTCGGGCGAGAGCCACATTTTGAAAGCGACCCGCCCTCCATCCGTGATGCTGTTGTGAAGTGGCAAGCTTCAGCATCATCATTGGTGAGGAAGTCTCAGGCGAAACGCCAGGCCCGCCCTTCCGACTGGCCTCAGGGTGCAACAGGGAGGAGTGCTCGATTAGGAACGAGAATGGAGGATCAGGAGGAGGACGAGGAGGAGGAGGAAGAGAAGGAGGATGAGGAGGACCGATGCTTGAGGATCGATGCTCGAGGATCGAAGAGAGAGGAACGAGGACCGAGGGCCGAGGAGGAGGAGGAGGCAGAGGTTCGAGGCGCGAGGGTCGAGGAGGAGGGTCGATCCTCGAGGATCGACGATCGAGGAGGAGGAGGGTTGGAGGGTCGAGGGGTCGGGGGGCGAAGGGTGGAGGAGAGGCCCAATTGGTTGGAGGAGGAGGTTCGAGGATCGAGGAAGGGGTTCGAGGATCGAGTAAGGGGGGGGGCGGTCGAGGATCGAGAGCTCGAGGGCCCAGGACGTTCGAGGCGGAGGAGGGTCAAGGGTCGAAGAGATGGAGGAAGGAGCTCGGGGAATCGAGGTTCGAGGGTTCGAAGGCCCAGGTTGTTCGAGAAGGAGGTGCGAGGATCGAGGATCCAGGAGCAGGGGGGGAGGAGGAGACGGAGGGGGGAAGAGTGAAAGAGGGAGGACGGGAAGCAGAGGGCGAGGGACGTCGCCACAGGTTTGGCTCGATTCCCGGGTTGGCCAGCACAAAATTCGCTGGGGTTCCGAACAAGGAATCTCCGTGAGCGGCGGGGATCATATTCATACCCACGGCATCGCAGTCTGGACTCCGCGGCCGCGACGCCACGGACAGCTGGCGGCTTTGCGCGGACGCTCCGCCTTTGGCTCGCGCTTCTGCGTCCAGACCCTGAGGGCATGGGACCGGTAGGCTTGTGCCGTATCGACACGGCGGCGATCCCCGTGCGGGCGTTCAAGATCGAACGCCGGTGGTGCCTTGAACTGGCCGAGATCGAACGATCCCCCCTATCGGTCAAGGTCGAACGATCCACGCGGTGTCAAACTGCAGACTTGCTCTGTTCCCCTACAGCGCTTCCAACCTTCGCGACCGAATCCGCACTGGTTCAAGCTCGTTTCAGACACCCGATTATTTGTTCTAGCCCTTGCCAATTCCATCTTCACGGCATTCCAACTTTCCGTGTTGTTTGCATCTTCTCTGAAGCCCTTCTCAGGGCAGAGCCTTCTCAGGGCACAGCCCCATCCACACAAGGGATAACATATGTTATCCCCCTACCGTAAGCAGCCTGGCCTGGTTAAGTGCGCGACCCTGGGCAGCCTAGGGCTTGTTGTGCACGCGGGCACTACTGGTTCCGCGGTGCACGCGGGCGTGCATTAGACTGTGGTGTACGCAGGCACTGCGGTGCGCACCGGCGTTGTGGCGCACACAATTGTCGTTGCAGCCGCAGTTGTGAAGCACACAGGCGTAGAGGATGTACGCAAGCATTGTGGTGTGACACATCACAAGCCCTGTGGTGTACCCAGGCGCCGTGATGTACACATTCGCTGTAGTGCGCAAAGTCGCGATGATGTAAGCGTGCATTGTGGGCTATGATGCACCCACGCATATCTTCCTACGTCGTCCTCCTTCTTCATGTTCGTCCTCCTCGTCGTCGACCCCCTTGCGCATACAGGACGCGGGCATTATGGTGTACACAAGAATTGTGGTGCACACAGGCCTTGTGTTGCACATAGGCGTTGTGTGTTCACATTTGTTGTGGGCTAAAAATGAGCCTTCCTCGGGCCAGAACAAACAATAATCACAGTCAGATCACATCTTCCCCAATCAGACCTTGCTTCTGTAGGGGTCCTGGCGGATTCATATGATCAGGTGAGGTTTGCCACCGATTTCCGCGGCCCGCCCAGGTGCCCGGGTGCCTTATAGCCCTATGGCCCAATAGCCCTATAGCCCTATAGCTTTATAGCCCTATCGCCCTATAGCCTTGTATTCCTATAGCCCCATAGCCCAATAACCCCATAGCCTTTAGCACAATAACCCAATAGCCCTATAGCCTTACAACCTTATAGCTTTAGGGCCCTATAGCCCAATAGCCCTATAGCTCTATAGCCCGATAGCCCTATAGCCCTATGGCCCTTTAGACCGATAACCCTTATAGCCCTGTAGCCCGATCTACCTATAGCTCTACATTCATATAGCCCAATAGCCCGATTGTTCTACAGCCTTGTAGCTCTATATACCTATAGCCCAATAGCCCTATATAGTCATAGCCCTGTGACCCTGTAGACCCAGAGCCCCAGAGCCCCAGAGCCCCAGAGCCCCATAGCCCTATGGCCCTACAGCCCTATTGCCCTATAGCCCTATAGCCCTATGGACGTATAGCCCAGGGCCTTATAGCACTATAATTCCCAAGCCTTCTAGACCCATAGTCCCATTGCCCTGTAGCCCAATAGCCCCTATAGCCCTGAAAAGACTTCGATTGTTTTTTCCCCGGTATCATTGAGTACGATTCGGGCCCCCAGAGATTTCCTGGAATGTGGCTCCGTCGGGGCCGTAGATGGCGTGCATCTTGGCAGTGGTCTTGGAAAAAGAGCGCGGGCCCCGAGCTGTCGACCCCATCGTGGGGTTCCTTTTGCTTCTCCTGCTCCTCCTGCTGGTGCTGCTGCTCCTCCGGCTCCTCCTGCGCGTATTCCCTCGGCTGACGCCGCTCCGCGAGCCCCAAGCCGCGTGGTGTTCACGGGGTCCGTGGTGCGCGCAGTTGCCATGACGTGTGCAGTCGCTATGGCGTACACGAGCTTTGTGGGCCCAGAATTCCAAGCGTTTCTTGGGTCAGAAAACAAATAAACACAACCAGCTCGCATATTGCATTTGATATTTTGGGGTCCCCAGTGGTTTTCCAGAGTTTGGCTTCGTCGATACCTTCGGGTGTACACAAGCTGTATGGTGTACGCAGGCCCTGCTGTGCGCAGGGGGTGCTGAAACAGCAGCTGTGGTGCACGCGGGCGCCGTGGCATGCACAAACAGTGTGATGTACAAAGGCGCGGTTATGCACAACAGCGTGAAGGAGGTTTCAGTTTTAGACCCATGCCAGTTCAGCGTGCGGTCTGAACTCGCGTGGGTCGCAAACTCGACCTCGATATCTCTTTGTCTGGGGGCCGTCCTGGAGGGTTATCGGTCAGTCTTGGAGCCAGTTGGGTGCTCTCTTGAGGCAGTTGTGGGCTTCTTATGACTCTCTGAAACTGTACAAAAGGCGATCTGAAGCCGAAAGGCTTCGGGAGCAACACTCCCTGGTCGTTCAATTGTGTGTTTGTTTCAATCGTTGTCGACGCTTCGAGCCTCGCTGGAGGTCGCTTGGGGCCTATCTTGGAGGCTCTTGGAATCTTTTTGGGCGTTTTGGGGTAGTCTTTGAGGGCTCGTTAGGCCGTTTTCGGACGGTCCTAAGGTGAATTCGCGACCAACGCCAGTTCAGGGCGCGTTCTGAGCTCGCGTGGGTTTCATTCTCGACTTCGTCCCCTCTGTCTTGCAACACCGTTGGGCCGTCTTGGAAGGTTGTCGGGCAGTCTTGGATCCGCCCGTGTGTTATATTGTTGGAGTTTGGCGCTGCCCTTGGGGCTTCTCGGGAGTCTCTGAAGCTTTTCCGAGGCGGTCTGAAGCCAGGAGGCCTTCGGAGTGGTGGCTGAAAAGTGCTCCAGGAAACAGAGCCAGGGGCTTCGGTGTTCTGACCCCACGTGCCGTGCAGGGGGAGCCGGCTTTAGAAGTTTTCAAATGACCGTGCCACACATCAGAATAGCATTCGGAGGCGCCCCACCGTGCTTGCGCCACGGCGGCGCATCTATGGCGCCACCTCCAGCGACGCGCACAATTGCAAAACCTTTGGCGCAGCCAACCCCACACGACCCCGCTGCGGCCTAGCGCAATCCCCCACGGCGCAACCCATGGTGCAACTGATGGCGCAAGCCATGGCGCGATGTATTGAGCGACCTGTGTCGCCACCCACTTTTCAACGTACAGGGGAGTGCGAGATGAGAAAAGGGTGCAGAGGAGTGCGGGACGGGGATGACGGGGCAGGGAGAAGAAAACAACAATATTGGAACACAGTGATCGGCCAGTTTGCTGTTTCCTGTGCGCGAGGACGGCGCCCAGCAGCCATCCCACCCCGCTATGAGAGACATGTGCGGCCTTTTAGCAAGTGCCCCATGGATATTCTTATTCTCCGATGCCCCACAGACCCACAGAAGCTCAGGGGCATTTTCTGGCCCGCAGAGACTGACGGAGAATGTGCCCCAATATTTCGCGTAGCAATATGCTTGACCGCGTGCGTAAAGAAGGTATGGCACACGTCGGGTTTCTGTTCGTACTCCCCCCCCGGCAGCAGTGCCTCAGGAGGACAGGTGGCTCTCCAACGGGAGCCTGCTCGACGGCCCCCCCAGGCGCTCCAGTGCCGCCCGTGCTGCCCCCCGCGACGGAGGAAGGAGCTGGCGAGGACCATCGCGGGCCACTGATCGCTCTCCCATCCCCGAGCCCCTCCCCAAGCTCGAAGGCGGACAGACGGCATACAGTCGGGCCGAAGGTCAAGATGGAGGTCGGTTCGGGGAGGGTCCCGCTCTGTTTGTTTTGACCGGCGGAGGGTCTCATGTTTTTGAGGGGTGTTCTTCTGGCCTGGGTCCTATTGTAAGCAAAGACATTCAGAGTTCTGCGCGGGCCTCATGGGTCGGCGCCAGGGCCACTCCAGTGGCGCCGCCAGCGCCGCCCCTGGCGCGCTCCGCGCGCCGGTGGGGGCCAGCGGCCAGTGCCGAGACAAGAGATCCTGGCGGAGCTCCGACAGTCTATTGTATGCACCTCTTTCTTCTTTCGCAATCATACTGGGGATACGGGGCAATCTTTCTGTGGCAGTCTATGGCATGCACATCTTTCCTCTTTGCCAATCTTCTTTCAGGAAGGCATGGGGATTCTGGGATACACCCCCGGGGGGGGCTAATCTGAACGCACCCCCCCATCGAGGATGGACGCTCCCCCCATCGTGTATATCCCTGACGTGGGCGCCAAATTGTTTGGCCCATCGACAGCTCCACTAAGTCGTTCGCTGGGATCGCGAAAACCTCCGTGTCTGTTCACAGAGGGAAAGGGATCCTGATATTATTTCCCGTACAGTCGGACCCAAATTCAAGATCGAGGTCGGTTCAGGGAGGGTACCCTCATGTTCTTCGCGTTTGTTGGATTTGATTGTGCATGCTGTGGGATTGTACTCTCGAGTGATCTTTTGGCTTTGGGTGTGTGGACCAGCGCAGGGTCTCATGTTCAGGACGGATGTTATTCCGTCATAAGCCCGACTGTACGTTGTCGGGCCTGCGAGCCGTCGGTCTTGGGGGAAGCCCCGTGGGTTCCCCGACCCAGCTCCTTCAGGCCAGGTCCCGTAATACCAGGAGGAAGCGGGCAGGACAACGTCAGCTGTAGTGTTCGACGAGAGGCGGCATCGCCACACAGCCGTGCGCGCCAAGACGAGCCCTCTGTGCAACCATTGCCGCTGCCGCCAGGGAGGTAGAAGGGGGGCAGAGGGAGGGGTTCTCCTCTCCTCCTCGTCTGGGCCCCCCCTCGACTCCACGGCTGAATTCGTCAAAGCGCGCTCCAGAATTGGCAGGCAGGAGGAGAGGCAGGCAGGAGGAGGAGGAGGAGCAGGAGGAAGATGACGCCTCACGCATGCGTGCGCTTGTGGCTTGCCTAAGCAGGATCAGGCGGAGAAAGAGGCTGATTATGAGGAGGAAGAGGGATACGGGACAACATGGAGAGCATTGGAATGGAGGGAGCAGCTGACTCAAGTGAATATCCTTTCCTCTCCCGGTTATCCCTTGAGAGCGCCACCCCTTGGCGCTACGGCGAAGACATTGAAAGTGGAAGGGCCTTGCATGGGCGAGGGGGAGGTGTGGCAGGGGTGGGCGAAAGTGATGTCGGAGGACGGGAACGAGCAGAGGGCAGCGGGGAGTGGAGGAGGGGAAGTAGAGGGAGGCGGGCGGACGCAAAGGAGGAGGAGGAGGAGGAGGAGGAGAAGGACGAAGAGGGAGGGAGTAGGAGGATGAGAAGGAGGAGGGGCACAACGAAGAGGATGGGCAACGGGGCAAGTCGAAAGGCTGGACTTCGGGAGGCGAAGGGAGAGATAAAAGGGGACGGGCAGGAGAAGGGGGAGGAGGGGGGAGGGATGGAGGGCTGGAGGCGCCGCGAGAAGACAGCCAGCCCCGCCGGCGCGGGCCTGCCCTGCTTGGGCCTCTGCGGGGCTCTCGTGGGACGCCTCGTCGCCATCTCGGGCACCCTTCGGCTCTCGGGGCACTCGGCGGTCGGGAACCTCTCCGGGCAGCGTGCCGCTCCCCAGGTTCTGGCCCGCCGCGCTTCGGCGCGACACGCTGCCCACGTCCCAGTCCCCGAGCTTTGACGCCCCGCGCCTCTCCAGGTCCCCCCGCCCCGAGCGACGGGCTATCCCGCAGCGTGTCAACAGAGCTGCCGCGGCGGCACACTCAGCAGACGTCACCGACCGTGCTATGTTGGGGCCTCTTGGAGGGCCCTCGTGGGCTATCTTCGGGCTCGCTGTCATATGGGCCCCTCTTGGGCCCTCTAGGGGCTGTCCTTGGTCGCAGGGGGGGGGTCTTGAGGCCCTGATTGGGGCTCTTGTGGACTCTCGTTGGCTCCGCCGAGGCTCTCTTGGCACCATCTTGAGGCGAGAGGCCGGGGCTGCCAGAAACACAGCATAGTCCCACGCTACAACATGTTTTTGGGTTCTGGATGGTGTTGGCCCTTTGAAACGCCGACTAGCCGTGTCTGTTTCTGTCTTGGACACCTCTTGGTCCCCCTTGCGCCTCCTGGAGCTTTCTTTGTGGCTGCTGGGTGTATATCGAGGCCTTTTGGGGGATGCCCTGCCCAGGCCTCGGTGGCCTTCCTGGGCCGTCTGCGAGGCCTTGGATCGGACCGCCCAAGAGGGCCTTCTGAGGACGGGGGGATCACTCGCGCAGTCCTGCACTCCCACGTGCGCGTCGTGCGTGGCGCCCCCCCCCTCAATTAGGTGCAGCGCCTCTCGAGGCGCGGGGCGCCGCCGCGCGGCGCCACGACCCCTCAGCGCGCGCGCGTCGCCAAACATTATGGAGTGTACAGTCGGGGCGCTGCAGAAGGAACCCTTTTCGTTGGGGAGGGGCTCGGTGTTTCTTCTTTGTTTTGCAGGTTCTCCTAGGTTTTCCTTAGGTTTTCCCTGGGGAATCTAAGTTCAACCTACGGGGAACAAGGGACCTCGTTCTTTGTTTAGGGTCCTTAGGCCAGCGCCCCGACTGTAAGTAGGAGGGGGGCGCAGCAGACTTACATCTTACAGGTTGTGCATCGACCCTCTGGCACGCCCGCATATCGGGCATGCGCGTTGGCGGATTTCCGATCAGGTCTACATCTGTGTGTGTGTGTGTTGGCAGGTGGGCAGAACAAAAGCAGTCGATGCGCATTTAGTTAAATACCTCGGGGTTGGATCTTCACCATAATCTTGGCAAATTTGTTGTGCACTACTCCTCCTGGCCGAAGGCTGCGAACTCACTGCAGCAACTCTGTCCAGCCAGTTGAAGCCTTCCTCCCCCACCGCCGCCTTCTTTCTCGGAGGTGGAGGGGTTGGAGGGGCACACCGCGGCTTTCATGATGCAGGGGGGAAGCGATCACATTGTGCACCCTACTGAGCGAAGCTGACCTGGCGATAATGTGCCCATCCATTGGCGGCGCATCCAGTGGCCGCGCGCAAAACGGGGTCGGGATGCTGATTGCTACTGCACGACCCCCAAACGGGGCAAACTCTGAACTCGTGATCAATGCCGCGACGGTCGGGTAATCAATGTGTATGCGCTCTCCATCTCTCTCTCTCTCTCTCTGTCTCTCGTTGTTTTGCGATGTATTCCCGTGTATACTTTATCAAAGTGTGTTCCACTCTCATGTTGTGTTGCTATTGTTTAGTTTCACGTACGTCTAAACGCATGTGTCCTTGCATAGATGTATGTGCATATACATGTATGTGCGTAGGCAGGTATACATGTATGTATGTGTATACACACTATAACCTTACATAGCGTAATCCATCTCTGTGTTTGCCGCCCCTTGCGCCCAGGCGGACGGAGGCGAAAAAGACACAGGAGGAGAAGGAGCCGCGGGGTCCTCGAGCATAAGCCTTCGCCGCACATTCCGTCCCCGCCACATATCCAGCAGCAGTTTGTGATGTTGCGCATCGCCTGCGCTGCATTTCCCAGCGCGCAGGTGGCATCAAGCGTGGTACCTGACGTCAGTGGCGTTAGACGTCTCCCTATCCCTGCATGACGGGCCCTGGATGGCCGCTGCCCGCAGAGGGTTTGCCCTTGCCGCTCGTCGCTCGTGGTGCTTCCCGGCGCGACCGATGCCACTCGCGCGCGGTGACGCGCGAAGTGCTAACTAGCAGTCTGGCGCGCGCGATCGATTAACACGTCCAGGATGGGAGCGCCAGATGAAGCTGTCACGGGTCACGTCGCAATCGAAATCATTGCAGCTGGCTTTCCAGCCCCCCTCCCTCGCCCGACGAACGCATCACTCGGGCCCTGTCAGCGCGCACTGGGAGCACAGAGCCAAGCCAGGCCGAAGCCTTTTGGGATGGTATGATCAGGGAGGTGTGCCTTCCATCGGCTTTTCGAACATGAGATATCTCTAAGTTTGCGCGGCAGTCCTAGGGAGGTATCATCTTCGAGAGGTCACTCAAAGAACATATCTCCAGGAACGTTTATCCCTAAGATCGCCGACTGACGCGCCGGGGGGAAGAGCCGCAGGAAGCGTTGGCCTTTGCATCCCACTTGATGTGGCGACGCCCCTGTGTCCTGGGGCGCGCCTCAAAACAAGGCGTTTTATGGCTCATCAGCGAACCCGTTCATCAAATCATTGGCAACCGCGCATTGCGCGCGCATATGAGGTAATTCATGTGCCATGCAGAGTTTGAATCTCTCGCGCAACACCCAGCGTGTGTACGCGAGCAATCTGTGCCACGATCCGTTGTCGCACGGGCTGAAGCCCTCGGAAAAGGTGAAAGACGATCTTAAGGATCGAGATCTGTTTCCCCCTGGTTACGGAGAGAGTTCTGACGGCGCTCGCGTTACACAAATCGTCACCGACCTGCCAGCTGAGGCAGGTGGCTCGATGCTGCCCGCCGCGGGTTGCAGGGAATCGTCGTCCCCCCTCCTGGTCCTCATTCCCTCTCCTTTCTCCTCCTCCTCCTTCTCCTCCTCCTTCTCCTTCTCATCCTCCTCTTGTTCCTCCCTCTCTCCTCTGGGGTGGGGCCTGGTCGAGCCGACTGGGCGTCGGCAGCGCCTCAGACGGAGTCCGATAGAAAATGTTTGTCCTGCCCGTCTCTCACCCTTGCCGAGGGCTCTGGGGCCTTCGAACTCTGTGGTGACCACCCCGCGTGGTGAGAGCGTGGAGCGGGATGCGGGGTCACCGCACGGTCGTTCTCCGACGGTGTCTCTCGGGCGACTGGGGTTTCCGAGGTCCTAAAAGACCGTGCGGTGACGGCCCGTGCGGTGAGGTGTTGGGATTCCGAGGTCACTACACGGTATGTCGCCTCATCGTTTCGGGACCCTGAATGAGCGACGAAATAAAACGGGGCCGATTGCGCGGACATTCGCGCGTAAGTTTCCCGCGCAAGCTCGCACGTAAGTTTCATCCTCTCGTGTGACACGCTGGTGGCCCATGTACGCCACAGCGTAGGGACTCCATTCGGCGGCGCGTCCGGGGGGGAAGCGAGAAGGACTTCGCCTTCTCAGAAGGCGGCGGGGCTGTTCAGATTAGAAGCCCCCTGCACCTCTGGGAGAGGCTCAGAGGACTTCTCAGAAGGCCCGAGGACTTCCGAGCCTTCTGAGGAGGCCCGCCCCCTCTCCACTTCCCCCCACCCCCCGGCTGGCCGAGGATCCATGGCTTGAGTCGGGCCTGTCCCTCCACAGGGGGAATATTCAAAAGTAGTCCAAAAATAGTCTGAGGACGATTGTTTTTGATTATTTTTGGGGCATGTGTGGAGCATTCTGTTTCGTAGTTTTGATTTTTCGGCACACATGTCCCTGTAGGGAGGACAGGCCCGACTTGATCCGTGCCGTCTGGCGCGAGGACCTCTCCTCTTGGGGCTGTTCCGCGGTCCCCCCTGCGGCCTGGCGCCCCGCCGCCTCGCTGCCCCTCGGGGCCAAGCCCGCGGGGCGAGGGCCGGGTCGAGGGACCCTCCCCCGTGCGGCCTCGCGGGGCCGCGGGGCGAAGGCCGCCCAGGACGCCACTGCTTGCAGTTCGTGCGCTGGCATAAAGTACCGCTCTGGGCCTCAGAGGAGCAAAAGGTACCCATACCTCTGCCCCCTCGCCCGTTGTCCCCTCTTGTGGGGGCCGCCTGGGAGGCCCTCGTCGCCACCCCGCCGGATTCGCCTCGAGGTTCTGGTGAGAACGCACCGGGGGAGAGGTCCGGGGAGTAGCGGTATCTGGGGGGCCACGTGCGAAGCCTACCCCTACCCCCCGCGATTTCTGAGGGGGAGGGCGGGGTAGGGTTCGCATGTGGCCCCCGAGTATCGGTACCTGGTGGTCTTCCCAGGGCTCGGGAGGGGCTCTGAGTTCTGGGTCGTTCCCCGGGTCGGGGTTCAGGGGCCTGTTCGTGGCCGAGGCTCGCCGTGGCCAGAGCAGCCCCCCTCGCTCGTCTGGCGTGCCTCACGGCAGCCCGCCGGCCCGTGGTCTGCACCTGGCCACCCCAGCCCAGCCCGAAGGTTCCAGACCCCTGGAAAGTCGGCATCGCTCGGACGTGTGCATTTTTTCTCGGCGAGAACCATCGAGGACCATCCTGGGCCATCGAGCAACAAGAAACACGCACGAAACCGAAACATGCACGGGAAGTGGACGCCCGAGCGACGGCAGGGAGACAAATTCGGGCTCGGGAGCTCACGGGTTCCAATGCGTTCCTCAATGTTTCAGAACGTCCCCCCATTGGACATTGGCAGTCCCAACGGCGACTTCGAGTCGGGTTGGGATGGCTTTGTGGGCAGTGGGGATGTCACCAGCCTCGACGTGACGTCGACCGCGCACGCGGCAGGACGAAGGCTGGGTCCACCATCAGGGGCAACGTTGGGGGGGTCTGCTCAGGGGGGGCTTTCTCGGGTTCGAAATTTCAGGTCGTCGGGCGTTGTCGGGCAACGTCAGGGGGGATATGCTCAAGGGGGGCTACCTCGGGTTCGAGCTTGCAGGTTTTTCGGGCGTCGTCGTGGGTTCTCGGCGGTCTTTTGGCATCGGACTGCCTTCCAGCGGCTGCGCCTCGCCGAGAGCGTTCCAGGGGTGGCCGGATCGTCCCGAAAGGCCGCCGGATAGCCGAGCGATGCACCGAAGGCCAGGGGGGAGGGACGGGTGGCTCAGGCGGGGAGGGGATGCACGTGCCCCTCATCGACCACTTCTCGCCGAGAAGGGGCCTGACAGCCGCCGGCCCCGCTCAGGAACGCTCAGACTCGCTGTCGGGGGCCCGTCGCGGATCTGTCGGCGATGCGTCGGCGATGCCACCTCGACGTCGCCCCCCGGAGCCAGGCCCCCCCACGAGGGCGCAGCGACGGGCCAGGGCCCGCACGACCAGCAGCAGGAAGTTCAGAGCTCACCGCTCCCCTCGCGAAGAGGAAGCCGGCGGAGCCCCGTCGGCGGCGCGCACATGCGGGCATCGCGGGGGGGGGGGAGGGGCTGGGCGGCCTTCTGCGGGGGGCGTCCTCAGCAGGGCTTCTCGGAGAAGGCCTCTGAGAAGGCTTCTCAGAGGCTTCCGGGCCCTTCTGCGAGGGCCCCTGACACGACCGCCTCCTCCCCCTGCTCGTCCGTTTCCTCTGCCGCCTCTTCGGGCGGAGACGGACCGCCTCCTCCCGAGTCAGTCCGCCCCGCCGTCCCCAGGAGTTCTACCGCCAGCGGGAGCGCGACCTGCTGTGGTCTGGCGACGTCCGGTGAGGACCCAGCCCGGGCCACCTGGATCCGGCCAGTGTCTTGCCTCGTCCTTCTCGGGCAAGTCCAAATTTTCTCTGGCTTCTTGACACGTCGTGGAGGTTGGACCATCACTAGCCGTCCAGGGTAGTCTGATGTAGTGCTGCTCTACGCTCTGTAATGCTAGGCCACTATTGGCTATGCTAGCGCCGTGCTATGATGTGCTTTGCCATGCTTGGCTATAAAGCGCCATACTGTATGGAGTGATGTACCTATACCCGTCTACGCAGAGCCAGGCTATGCCATGTTATGCAAGCATGTCATGATGTAGGTGGCATCCTGTTCGACACTACAGAATTCTGCTACGTCATGATATGCTACGTGGTGCTGTGGTATCATTATTGCGTTGTGGTATGGTTTGAACGTGCACCTCATTGCATCGTGTTGGGCATGCATGTCGCCAGCACAACACATCCCGTACAGGCGGTCGCGCTGGGCTCGTATGTTTGCAGTTCCCGTGCAGCGTTATCACTGTTCACACATGCGGACTTCAACGTCACCGTCGTGCATCGCATCGCTCGTAAGCATAGTTGCTCGACGTACGCACTTTTGCTTGAGTGGGAAAAGAGGTTCCTGGGCCCGCCTCTTCTTGGGTGCAAGGTTAGGGCCGCTAAGGAGGGACAGGCTCGAGAGGGGAGGCATCGACCCCCAATCGCCCAATCCTCACCGATAGCGGCCCTATCGGGGGCGCATCGCCGATCTATCGGCGATATATTGCCGATTCCAGCGCGATGCATCCCCCACTGAGCTGGTCCCCCCCTGAGCGTCGCCCCTCACCCTCCCTCTGGACGCCCGAAATGGGTACGGAAAGAATGGGTACAATGCCCAACAGCAGTTCCTGTTCATTTGGCACAGGACTCGCTGTCCGCGCCGCCGCGGCCTGCGTCCGTTTGAGACACAAGGCCGCCTGCCCCACAGCGGCCGCTGTTGGTTCGGGACAACATCTGTTGTTGGGCATTGTACCCATTTTTTCCGTACCCATTTCGGGCGTGACTCCCCGCGCCCCAGAGTAGATTCAACCCTGACGTCTGTGCACGTTCGGGGGGCGGACGGCGCAGACCTGCGCGGTGGAGTGGAGCAGTGCCGAAAAGAGCTTTTCTGGCCGAAGGTGCCCCCCCCACCCCCAGGATCCCCATGCCATGCAATCTCGAGTGGGGTGGGGCGGGAGCAAAGGACAACGACGCGCCCGCACACCCACCAGGACGGTTTCCACATTCATGTCGGAACGCCTGTGGATGTAGTCGACGCGCTCCCACGGCGAGTATGACGAGTCGCCACATGTCTGGTTCCGTAAGTTGCTTTATGGAGCAGCTTATTGTGGTGCTGTTGGTGTTGTTGCTGATGCTCGTTGTATGTCGACCCGCTTGCACGTTTATTTCAATATGCGTTTTCGTTCATAGAAGTATGCCGGTGCATGTGCACAAAGACACGTTTTGAGCAGTATTCCAGGGAACCTCGCGCACGACATATTCTAGCTGCAAGAAGTGTTAGGCGTTTGTGTAAAAAAGGTGTTGTTTTAAAGCGGTTTTGCCCGCCGCTCGGCTGCTGCGTGTCTGCAGTTTGCTGGGGGCATCGCCTGGGGCACGAGGAGCCGACGGCGAGCGTCGGACCGCAGGCCTCAGAGCAAAAGTTCTGAGCATATCACATGTTTGCGGTGCATGTGGGGGTGGCTTGGGTTGCCTTCGCTGCAGAGCGCGCAGGCAGAGTGGCGTTGCCGTCTTATTCGATGTGCACGCTCGTCTTCAGAAAAACGCTCTCCAAGCATGGCGTTCCACATCGCCCTGGCCCACATCTGTTCGCCAAGCGTCCGCCCCGGCCTCCAGAGTGCCCCTCGGAAGGCCCAGAGGGCCCCGGGCGGCCCGCGGGCCCCAAGGTGCAGAGGAAAGCACGCGGCACTCGTGGCACCCCTCGGCACCTGTGGCACCCCCCGGTGACGCTCACAAGCGCGGTGGGGCGTTGATTTTCTGTATTCTGCTCTGGCGCGCAGCGGTCGTTGCACGGCCCCCCCCCCTCCCCCCCCCCCCCGGGGAACTGGTTACCATCGTGCAGGGGGGGCGGGGGCCTGGACCCCCCCCCCCTGGCTCGTACTACTACGGGGATCGCAGCGCACCTGTGTCCCGACTTGCCCACCCCGCCGAAGCGTGACCCTTCCGCGCTTTTCCCCTCGGGCAGCAGCCGTTGCCGGAGAGGCTCGGAAGCTGCCAGCAGTGCCCTCGGCCCAAGGTGGCCCCCAGGACTTCCAGGGCGGCCCGCCGCGGCCTCCGGAGCACCCTCGCGGGGCCGGGGGGGGCCCCAGGGGGCTCCAGCACGGGGCGGAAAGAGCTGGGGCTCGGCATCGCTCGGACGTGTGCATCTTTCTTTCTGCGAGGACCATCGAGGAGCATCCTTGATCATTTGGCGAAAACAACACGCGCGAAACCGACAAAAAAACACAGGGAATGGACGTCCGAGCGATGGCCAGGGGGGTGCCCTGGGCCAGGGGTGCCTTTTCGGCCAGCCCCGAGATCTCGAGGCAACGCGCGAGCGCTCGTGGCCACCCACCAAACCAACCCAACCCAACCCGAAGGCTCAGATTTACCCTCGATTTCCAGTGGGGGGGGGGTCAGGAACCATGGAAAAAACACATGTGGCACCCTTCACCCCCCCCCCCAAACCCGAAATGCGGGTCTTCGGGCTGGGTTGGGGTGGTCTGGTAGGCAGTCAGCCCGCGGCCGTGCTCGCAGGCGTCCGCGGTGTCCACAGGGCCGGGGGGTGCTCGCCGGCGGCGGTCGCGGGCAGCGCGGCGCGCGCGGGGGCCTGTGGCCGTGCGCCTCGCGGGCGCCCCCCCTCGGGCGGAGGTGTGGCGCACGGCGGCGAGCTTGCCGGCGGAGGGCGGCGGAAGTCCCCGTGAGGCGTCCATGTTTTTTTTTTGTTTCTTTTTTTTCTTTTTTAAAATGAAAAAAACACACAGACACGATGAATCGTCCACTTCCAGGAAAAAATGAAGGGAAATATGAACATGGGGAGTGGGGGGGAGGACAACACGCATAGGAAAGAGCGGAAAACATAGGGAATCCTGATATTTGCGTGTACTCATTTGCGTGTCCCAGGGCCCCTTCAACTTTGTGGGTTCGAGGTCTGCCGGCCGCGAGCCCGGGTCCGAGGCCCGAAAGCCATCACGTCACGAATTTTGGGCCCCAGGGCCCACTGAGGCCCCAGGGGCCTCAGATCGATCTGCGGCCCCAGATCGATCTGCGGCCCCAGATCTGATCAGTGAAGTGAGGTTTTTCCCACGCAAGGGCCCCGAAACTCATCACTTCACGAAACCGAGCCCACAACGAAAGTCGGGGGCCGAATTGCTGCTGTGATGCAAGATAGGTCTCGTACAGGGGGGGGCAGCGAGAAGGTGCGGGCCTTCCAGAAGGCTCGGAGGTCCCCCCGCCGTCTGACAAGCTTTAGAAGCTTTCCCCGAAGGCACAGGGAGCCTCTCAGGAGGCGCGAGGTTCTCCGAGGAGCACCGCCGCCTTCTGAGAGAGAACCTCCTCTTTCTCGGTTCCAGATGGGGTGCTCCTGATGGACGAACCAGAGCTGTCTGTACCGATTGGTTTTCTTCGACGGGGTCGTCTCCACGGCCCTCAGAATAGGGTCGAGCGCATTGGACGCCGCGGGAATCGTGAGCTGTCTTTTCTTAGTAAACCATGAAATGTCGCGCGTGCTTCGCCCAACCTGGCCGTTCCAGATTCGTGGCCCCAGGGATGGAGTGAGATGCGACGCTTCTGTTGGTGTTTATTCCGCTGATGTTGCTGCTGGCCCCCTCCTTCCTCTCCTCGTTCCGCTCCTTTTCTGGCTCTTCGGCCCCAGTGATGCTGACGCCGCTCTGTCGTTTCGCGCTTGCCCGGGCCCAACAAGTGCTGCTCCTGCTACAACTAAGGGGTGGCATGAGGGAGATATTCGAAATGTCGTCTGCGCGAGCATCCCAATGGAGCACGGGGTTCATGAGTCTGCAGGAGTCGAGAATTGGTACGCTTAGCTCAAGAATTTGCTGTATTCCGGGCCAGCCTGGATTCGCTTGCCATCGGTCGGGGTCCCCCCAAACTTGCTCCGCTTAAGCCATGGAGTATGGTGGATAGAGGTGGGAGGCCGTGGGAGTGAGTCATTTGCCATTTTTTAAGAAGCAGTTTGTGGGGTTACGCCCAGCTCAGCCATGTTGGATGCGTGGCTGCCAGGGAGTCGTAGCATGTGGCGCCTCTGCTGCTGATGCTTCCCCCCATGGCGATGTTTCTTCTCCCTGCGGCCCCGCCACCTCGTCCTGGTCTTGCTCGGCCGCCTTCACGTTTCGCCGCTCGCAGGCTGTTTCCACGATCGCAGTGCCGGCTCTCAAGGGGCCCTAATTAGCAGAAGACGAAGGAGTTGGCAAGAGTACCGAGCCGATTTCAGTCTGCGGCCGGGCTCCTGGACTCCTGGTCGTGGGTTCTGGCGATCGGGCTGGGCCGATTCTGTTCGGCGGCCAGGTCCACGGACTCCGAGTTCGGGTTCCGTGTAGATTTCGGCGGGCGGTTGGGGTCTGGGTCCCCGGGTTCCCAGGGACAATGAGTGACCGTTCGGCCCCCTCTTCTGATGATAGAGCAGAGAGCAGAGCAAGTTCAGAGCGTCAACAAGAAAAGTAGTGGATGAGAAAGGGGGGATCGATCACTCAATCAATAAGGGATTGAGTTGAGAGAGAGAGAGAGAGAGAAAAAAAAAAAAAAGAGAAAAAATAGAGAGAGAGTGAGAGAGAGAGAGAAAAACAAACAAAAGAGAGACACACATCATAGAGAGACAGAGAGAGACTGAGAGAGAGGAGGGTATTGTGAGTACTTGCGACGACTGTCAGAACGAGCGAGTATATCTTTCAGAGTCGCGCGTATGCATCGGGGATTACAGAGCAGAGTTGAGTAGAGAGAGGGAGAGAGAGAGAGAGAGAGACAGAGAGACAGAGGGATCGAGATAGAAGACAGAGAGAGAGAGAGAGAGAGAGAGACAGAGAGAGAGAGAAACAAGCAGCATATAGATGAAACGAGAGCGAGAGAGAGAGAGAGAGTAGAGGACGTTAGGGTAGATTCTGGAATAGGCAGTAGACATTCGTAAATAGATGGCGGAGCGTGTTGGGAGGGCATTTCTAGAAGACAGGGTAGAAAGAGAGAGGGAGAGAGAGAGAGAGAAACGCACACAGAGCTGGTATATATATATATATATATATATATATATGTACGTAGGTGCACAGAGAGGAGAGGGAGAGAGAAAACAAACAGTGAATAAAGAGAGAGATAGAGAGAAAAGCAGCAGAGATAGACATACACAGATATAGAGAGGGAGAGAGAAACACAAGAAGACATACATAGAGAGAGAGAGAGAGTCAGAGAGATAGAGAGAGAACGAGACAGAGAGAGATAGAGACATCGAGACGTTTCAGTTTTGACGGCGCGCACTGTGGTGGAAGAGGTGGGAACTCAGCGGGAGAAGTTGTCCATGTATTCTTACTCAGCCGGCGCTGATCTATTATATATACATAGAGAGAGAGGGGGCACAGAGAGAGAGAGCAAGATATCAACTTTATTGGGGATCGTGCATTTATACATGTCAGTCTTCATCTTTTGTTCAGTCGATGAGTCTGGCGTGGGCTCTAGACGTATTGTTTTTCTACGATCTTGGACCCATGCGAGCCGCAACAGCAGTTGCAGTGGGCAGGGTTGCAATGAAGGTTTCCTTATCTTCCCTTTCCTGTGGTGATGCGCGTTATGCATCGTATCTCTCCTGAAAAGAAAACAGAGAGAGAGTACAGAGATCAGAAAGTAGCAAGGCAAGGTAGAATAGGGCGGGATGAGGGTCAACATGAGTGAGCATGATCTTGCTTACGGCCCACCTTGCCTTCGTTCCATTTTCAAAGAGGGACGCGTCACAACATCTACCCTCCACCGCAATAATCATGTTTCGCGTTTCATGTGGTATTAGAATAGTCTTTCCTATTGTTGTGCGTACGCATGGCGTTGGCAAACTGGTGTGTTCCTGGCAGAGGCGGGCTTCCGTCGCCGTCTAATGGTGGCAAGGTCATTTTGGTGCTCTTCGGCTGGTTTTGGCGCTCGCTGGCTTCTGGTGTTGAGAGACACCCTACTATTACTCGCGCGCGTATCGTGACGATCGCACGCTGGCCTGGTGCGGTTGGAGCTAGTTTAGAACAACATCTTTCAAGAACATGAGGCCTTCCGCCGGCCAAAACACGCCAAACAATAAGATCATTCGAGTACCCCCTTGTGGGATGCACAAGAACATCCAACAAACAAGAAAAATATTCGGTTACCCTTCCCGAGACGACCTCGATCTTATACCTACGTCCTCCCTTACGGCAGGTTCCAGCAGATTGTTGAACACACGTGGCGTTTGCACCTTCTTGTGGTACGCACAGGGTCCGTCTTCCCTCGCCGTCTTGGTGGTTGCAGATACGGCACATGGTGCCCTCTCGCGCACGTTGTGGTGCTCAGAGGTTATCTCGACTAGACGTAAGAGTGACCATTCGCCGGAGTGATTTTTGGTGCGGGCTCAATGGTGTCTCCCGATCGCCGAACGCGATGCGTCAGTAGCGTCTTGCGCGCTTGTGTTTGGTCCCCCCGCGGTCCCAAAAGAGCCGCGCTCCAGAGGTCACTCTTATCTAGGGTCATTCTTGCGTGTAGTCGACTATCGTGCTTGCTGGCGATTGCAGGCGCAGCATGTTGCTCGCAGGCCGTCGTTGGATCTGCAGGGTCCGACCAAGTTGCTACTCTTGCACATGCGAAGCGTGGTGTTCGCAGGTCCTTGTTGCACTGGCGGTTTCCAACGAGACCCTGTCAGCATTGCGGAAGCAGGGCGTGGGACGGCATGGTGTGTTGCAGCATCGTTGTTCCCTCTTCCTGGGGAGCAGAAACAGGGTTGTCTTGGGACCGCAAGCGTTACTCTGTCTATTTTGCACGTGCCCTGGTGAGTTGCGAGCTGCCTTTCAATTCGAGCGACCTCAACTCATTCTCCTCATACCTCTCGTCCTTTGTTAACCTCCCCTTCCTCCATGATCCCCTTCCTCCTCCTCCTCCTCCTCCTCCTCTTCTTCCTCCACATCTCCTTCTTCTTCGCTTCCTCATCCTCCTCTTTTCTCATCTTCTTCCCCCTCCCCATATTCCATGTTCTTTCCTCACCTCCTCCTCCTCCGTCCTCCTCTTCCTTCTCCTTGCCCTCCTGACGCTCACGTCTGGTTGAGCCGTGCCCCGAGCTTGCTAGTGGGAGCGGTGCAGAGTTCCTGGGTGTAGTTCTCGTGCTGGACCTGTATACCCTATGCTCGATTCGCCCACGTACCTCGTCTGCTCCATCTCCCAAGCCACGTTGCGCTCTCTCGCGGCCTGGAGCTCTGTTCGAGCGGCATCGACCGACCACCTCCCGATCCCCGCCGCGCCCACCCTGGGTCGAGAATCCCTGCACGAGCCTTCCTGGCTGGGCCATGAGGACGTGCATCAGGGGTAGACCAAAACGATGGTATGGCATTCTTGTGTATTCATCTCTGTCTCTCCGTGTTCGTTTAGCTTTCATTTAAGGGCCTACAGTTGGCCAATCACCAACTCAGATGTGTGCCAATGCGCTGTTTTTAGTCATCGGTCGGTCCGTTTTCGAGAAACGGAAAAAAAAAAAACACGGACAACGCTACTTTGGGCGACCCCTGACGTGCACACCGATCTTTGGCCCAGGATCGGCGCGGCAGTGGTCGTCGAGGCGGTCTGCTGACTCCGCCGGGCCTTCACCACGGGCCCGCACGCACGCGACCTCTAGCTTCGAGCGCACGGGCCTGCGCCGGCCGCTCCCGAAGGAGGCCGGGGCAGGGCACGTGCGGCGGTTTCGGGGGTGGCCGAACCACATCGACGGTGACATCCAGTCTCTCATTCCGACGTCAGCGGCAGCATCATCATCGTCGTCGTCGTCGTCGCCATTGTCGTCGTTATCCTCATTCTCGGCATCATCATCATCATCATCATCATCATCATCATCATCATCATCATCATCATCATCATCATCATCATCATCATCATCCCCATCATCACCATCAGCATCATCATCGTCATCGTCATCATCGTCATCGTTATCATCATCATCATTATCATCATCATCACCATCATCATCATCATCATCATCATCATCATCATCATCATCATCATCATCATCATCATCATCAT